TACCCCACAATAGAATCGAGTTAACATGTCTTAGGGAATTGGAATAATATTTTTGTAGTGGTAGATGCGCACAGTACTCCACCACAAGAATTATATCTGTGATAAAATTCGATGCACGAATACCACTAGTTGATTCATAGCTGTTTTGTGGGAAGCCGGGAGAGCTGTATTAAGATCACCGTACTTTTGCTGATCATGAGAGCTGTATTAAGATCACGGTCATTGTCGCTCCTGTGTTGCCGTCAGTCGAGTGTATGGCAGCCGACGTTGTGCGCGATCGAGACGAGACTGAGTAGCAACAGTGCGAGGAGGTGGATAATGTCGCAATCACAAGTAGCAAGTCAACTGTTTTAATGTGGACCATCCATCACAGTAGGTATATTCAGATAAAAGTGGGCTTTACTGTCAAGATAGGCGTGTTCACATCACGTCTGAAGGTCACCACCAGGAGTTTTCGACCATGTCAACCGTCATCTATGAAAAGGTACCCCACCATAGAATCGAGCTTGATGCTTGATGCGGGTTGTATCTCGGTGTTTGGCGCTAAGCGCCACTTACCGATTCGTCTACACTAGTTTGCATTATGCTCTCAGGTCATAGGAATATAAGTCTTATGTTAATCAAAGTATAGGGGGAATTCCCCTATCGTTAAAAACAATAATAAGAAATACAGAAAAAGATATGAACTAACAAAGGATATGATGACATAAATTGATAATACATAATTGACATTAAGATTAAGAAAAAAGATATATATACAAGATATTTACATAGCTATTTACATGTTTATGTTATTCAACATATGTCTTAGATAAAAATATGGCTCTGCTAAAACAGTGACCCGGTCGTCCTGGTAGATCACCACTCGTTCCGGGTTGCTCACTGTACTATACTTAATGGAGCTATGGCTTGCCCGGATCGGACCCTTTTCAGAGTTACTCCTTCACCGGGTTTGCCATAGTCCAGTGGATATGCTGTGTGTGTTTGTGCCCTATGTTTTTTATAGTTTTGAAATTATGCAGTCTGATAATAAGAATGCCGTTAGTGGGCTATGATTGCTGTTTTCCTTAATGAGTTCTAAATTAAAGATTTGCTTGAAGTTGGAGGTATTGCACTCTTTAGCATCGCTGAAGAATTTTGTGCTAAGTTTAGCCATATAACAGTTAATTTCCTCTATTTTGAGATCTTTTCTTAAAAGTCTGTTGTTAATTGCCTTTGGAGCTCCTGTCATATATCTGAGTATTTTGCCCTCTGTTTTTGATAGTTTATTCTTTAAGTTGTTGCTAATTGTGGTTAGAGCTGGGCAGGTATAAGTTAAAATGGGTCTGATAGCCTGTAAGTATATGGTCCTTTAATTGGCCAGATTTAGTTTTGAGTCTTTATTGAGGATAGCTTTTAGGGTGAAATACGCACCTTTAGCTTTTCTAATAGTTTCGTTGATATGTTTGTTCCAGTTCAGGTTTTGTGAAATTGTGACACCAAGGTACTTGGCATGCTTAACTGGCATGATTTTGGTATTGAATAAGTCAATTGTATGAGAGTTGTAATTGTATTTTTTGTTGTTAATAATAAGCAGGTTACTTTTGTCTGGATGCAGTTTAATTCTCCATTTGGAGCACCATGCTTCTACCTCTTTAAGCTTATTTTGTAACAGGTCTACTGCCCTCTTGGAATTCATTGATTTGGTGATAATTGCGGTATCATCCGCGTAAAAAGCCACAAATTCATTTGGGTTGTCGCTGAGCGGAAAGTCTGCAGTATATAAGATATATAATAGTGGTCCCAGGATTGAACCCTGGGGTACCCCTGCCGTAATAGTATGATATTCCGAGTATGTGTTGTTCATTTTAATACGGAACTTTCGACCAATTAGGTATTAGTCAAGAATTTTTGGGATGTTTGATGGAAAATTCATGTATTTAAGTTTTACGATTAGACCCTTATGCCATACTCGATCTAGAATCGAGCTAACATGTCTTATATACTAGTGAATTGGAATTATATTTTTGTAGTGGTAGATACGCTACAATACAAGAAATTTCAAGAAAAGAAAAAATATCGTAGTGCACTCCTATTCTCGATCGCAACGAACTATAGGGGGCGTTGTTGTATCAAACGAATACCTGAGATTTCTATATGAACAGTCATTCAGTTACTCTGGAGACGTCTTTAATGTAGCGTAGCATTGTTACGATCCTACTTAAACTGGCTTATTAAATTTAAAAAAGAAAAATGTTTGATATTCTTTCTTATGCAAACAAAAACCAAATGGTAACTTTTTTTTCTTCTTTTTTTAGAGAAGGAACATTCGAAACACATCAGAAAAATATTTCTAAATAAACAGAAAATTTTTTTGTGTATTCTTATGAGTTAAAAACTAATGGCTAAGAAATAGTTTTACTAAATTTAATGATATAGCATGAAAAACTCATTAAAACTTTACATTCCATAGTCTTAAGAATCATATTACTTCAAAAATTAAAATGAACAAAAAGTAGGACATAAAGCCTCATAATTTTATGTAATTTAATTTTGTAAACAAAGTTTTTTGTTAACAATTTATATCAAAAAATTTCAAGTTTCAATAAAAATCATTATTTAAAAACCGAAAAACGTAAATTAAGAATGCTTACGAAAAAAAAAATAAGAAGAAGAATTCTTTTTTAACGCCATTTTTTATTACTACGAAAATGCGTCTTTGGGATTTGCCAAAAACAAAACAATTTTATTTTTTCAGGAGCGAAATATTTTACCGAAAAAAACGAAAATGACCTAATTCCCATGACATGAAACTTTATCTTAGTAAATGTACGTTTTGGAAATGTTATTTCATTTGGAATCTTATTTATTAGAGTTCATATGACGACAGCATCAGGTGAAAGAAAATAGAGTTTGTTTTGAATCTATGCTAAACTCTATATCGGCCCATTTTCCACCGAAATCCGATTGACTACTTTGATTTTAAATAAAGTGTTTTATTTTATGATTTGTCGCAAAAATTTTAAGTGTAGATTGGCGGCACTTAAAAACCGCCAAATCTGTAGCTGCTGCGGCGTTAATACGCAAGTACCTAATTTTTACTCCATACTTTTCTGAATCATATTACTTCAAGCATTAGAATATGCAAGAAATATACATTAACACATATTGTTATACCATTTAATTTTTCAAAAAAAAGTATTTTGACGACAATTTTTATCAAAAAATTATAAACTAAAATACGTAAAATAAAGAATTCTCTGGATAAAAAACGATTTTAAAAATTCTTCAAATTGAAATGAAAACTTTCATATTTTCATATTGTTTCTTTTTTTTTTATTCTTATAGTTCTTAATCAGACGTAAAAACTCATTCTGTAGAAAACGATCATCAAATAGGAAAAAAAAATATTTACAAGCAAATTTTTTATTATAAAAATCATAACACTCACCTGTTTTATAAATTCGCAGAATTCCAAATGAAATGTTCTTCGATTGAAAATTTTACTTTCAAATAATATATACATAGATTATTCCTTCATTACTTTTAGATAACATACCACACAGAAAAATTTTATAATTGTAAGATCTCGATATGAATTTGAATATGTAGCTTAAAAACAGAATAGCTGAATTCCAGTTGAAATTATTCCTTCAAAACTAAAAAATACTTACGAAGAAAACGATAAAAATTTATTAATAATCAGCGCAAAGGAAACTATATTTCAAATAGTACAGATGATTCTTTATTGTTGTTTTCCGAATTATATAGATACAGAAATATATACTATTCTATAAAGAAGAAGAATATTCTATAACTATTATACAGCTCTGTGTACGTTCTGAATTCACATTTATTCATTGGAATAACGAAAGCAATGTTGACTTCACTTTAATTTGTAATGAATTGAAGACAGAAAAAATTGTTTTACCGTAATACACACATCTGTAACAGCAATCATGTAATCATGAAATCGGAAGTTATGTTGTTAGTAATAGAAAGGTAAAAATTATTGAGAAATTGTTCTTCAAATGCTTGGCGTATTCTGCTTCAATGTTTGGCAAGTTCTTCTACCTTTTTCTTAGGGAAATTTTGCTTCTTAATTGCTGCTAAGAAAATGGCGTCTGTCATTGCCAAAGGTTATGAGGGAATTAATGACCGATATTGTCCGGCTCCCGTAAGAGGGCGTACTCGAGCGTTGCGATTACGAACACAACTAATAAGAGGAGGAGAGGGAAGGTGGATGGGACCAAAAGCATGGAACCTGTCTTATCTGCAGATGGCGTATTCGAGCTTTGCGATTGACTATAGCTCTTAAAAAAAGTATCGTGGAAATTTTATAAAATATATTTGACAATTGAATATAAAAAATTATGTGAAAAGGAAAATGGGGAGGGTCAAGACATGGAATCAATCTTCTCCCTAGATGGCGTATTCGAGCGTTGCGATCGTGAATCAGACTTGGGGCAACTACATGCAGTGGGAATACTCCCTAGAAAATTATCCGAAAAATAACCGCTCATGCATATGTAGAATTGCGTATTGATTGCGCTTCACATATGTATGTTACAATTAGAATTGTCCCGCAGTGGACTGATCATTAAGACACCGTTCCCAGCAGATCACCGAAGTCAAGCATCACTGGCTACGGTCAGTGTGCGGGTGGGTGACCACTTGGATCAGTCTGCGTAGGGTCTGAGGGTGTGCGGTATTGGTCCTCGTTAAACTGTGCTACCGTAAAGTGCTCGACTTCGCGCGCAGGTCATTGGGCTAACGAAGCAGGGGTGTCATCCCCTCCGCAGAGGATCAAAATTGAGATGGCATGTCTTCGGATCCTCCTCCGGGATGTTTCCCAGACCGTCGCCAATAGCCCATTGTGAAGCTCTAGTGCGACGTAAATTAACAACAACAACTACAATTAAAATTACAGTTTCAATTAGATTGCAGTTAAGAATACTTCGTAAGTATGTTTTATGCAAATGACTTTTGCTGTTTGCAGAGCCGCATTATATAGAGACAAAAGCAAGTGCGCTATTTTCCGGTAGTTTGCTGAGGAGCTTGCTTTTGCTGTGCCTGTTGCGCTTTCTAGCAGACAGCTTTTCTAATTTGTTTTAGAGAGTTTCTATATTCGGTTTTCTGTAATTAATTGCTAATTTTCTTTCGAAATGAGAGAAATCGTTCACGTTCAAGCTGGACAATGTGGTAACCAAATTGGTGCCAAAGTAAGTTTGCTTTAAGTTTAATTTGCTGGTTTGTTGTTCAAAATTTTGATTGTGTTACCAAGTCATTAAAACTATTTTTCTTGTTATTTATACGTTTCTATAGAATTTTTAAGTCATGAAAACTTATTAAATTAGGTATTAAATTTTTTAAGGCTCGTTTAATTCTTTTCCTTAAACACGATAAAACTTAAAAACGTAACTGTAGAATTTTGTTTTTTTTCGCCTGTCATAACGAAAGCAGACTAGTTTTATTTTTCACCTTTAAAAAAAAAAAAAAGAAAAATGTATGCTACCTGTTATACATTTTCGAATTTTATTTATTGAAGTAGTTTTTAATGTATTCATGAAAGTAATGCGGGTTTGTTTGTTTTTTATTCTCAAAGGCAATAATAAGCGTAAACGCACTTGTCTATGAAATATTAAATCAAGTCTTAGCAAATTTTTTTGAGTTTCTTAGCAAATTCCTTTTAGTTCCATCCTGTCATCGAATGATCAACACGCTCTAAATTCTAATTTCCATGTAATGTTTTTATCGTTCTTAATTATTGCTAATTTTTTTCATTATGCATTTTAAAGTTAAAAAAGTTTTAAAATAAGAGCTAAATTTTGCATTTTTGAGACTGACAGCTCATACAAATAGTACTATTGCCAAGGTTTTATTTCTAAGATTCTTCCACTTCATTTTCATTTTTTTAATTGTTTAATCAGGGATTACTAGTGCAAATTGAATAGTTAAACATGGGCACACTAATTTAAAATGTGACAGTTGGCAACAAATTGTTTTAGGAGAGCTTCAGCAATCTCAATTTTAAAATTCTGGCGATATGGAATTTGTCACCAAATCTTCTACAAATGGCGCTAAAATCATAAGCTTTTAGCAACAAATGTCCCCTTGAAATATATTTGGAGTTTTCCAAATAACAACTAAAATAGTTTTTTTGCATCGAATTCTATGCATTTAAAAATCTTCTGTTGTACTAATTTTATTCTACTTGTGGTTTGGAGTTCAAATGTGTGGTATTTAAATGGAAGTACGAAAAATTTCAATTTAAATATTAAAATTTCAAATTTACATGTTCTGCTTTGCATTCTGGTACTGACAATATATTTGTTTAACAATTAAAATATTTTTGTTAATTTAGAACTGACTTTATTAAATTTTATAATTTATAGATAATTAAAATTCCTAGTATAATTTGTTAACTCTTCCTTTCTGTTTCCCTCATTTTTATTTTTTATTTAGTCTCTGCGTTTAAATTGCTATGTTGAATCATTACTTTTAGATGGCAATTAATAATTTTTGTATACCATAATGAATTATATGGATTTTTCAATTTTTTTAAAAGTTTGTTGCTGGTGTGAACCCTACAAATTATTGCTGAAATTTTTTTTCTTAAGGGAACTTTAGTTGGCCCACAAATTTTGCACATTTTAAAAGCTTCTCAACCAAAATTAACTAAGATTCATTTTTATATTTTTGGTTACGTATTTATAGCTTCTGTCTTAAAATTTCTATATGGATATGCACACAAGGTTTGTGTAGAAATAGACAGCTTTATAAAAATAGATAATAAAATAAAGCAAATTTAGAAGGTTTAAGATCTATTTATAACCTGTATTTTAAGTTTGTTGTAATTGAAAAACTCAGACAGAAATAAATTTAATTTGAATGAATAAGTACATTGGTAGATTTCATTGTGAATGAAAGTCTAGAATGACAGTAAGAATATCTAGATATTTTAAGTTTTTCTGTTGCTAGCATAGTACAAACAAGATTGCCACTTTGAACTGAAATCCATCTTTAGAAAAATAAAGACTAAATTCCATAAATTAGCTTTTTTTTTTTTTGGTTAAATACAAATATTTTTTTAAATCAAAACAGTTTATTTTTAAATTATTGCAAAATGATCTTGTAATGTCTCTGTAATGGAAGATGGAGTCAGAAGTTTTATTTTTTAGCCTTGCTAAAGCTTTACCAAATCTTTAAGTCCTGACTGATGGAATTAAATTTCAACACCTGCTGGTATAAACAAAATTTGTACTATCGTTGAATCTAAATATGCTTGAGCTTGTGTTTCTCCCTAATGTATTGAAATGTTGGCCAAAGTTAAATTAGTCCCCCTACTCCTATCCTGCCAGGCTTGAGACTGATCGATTAACACTCTCTGCTATAGCTCAATGTCATTCCTTTTGCAATTAACTAAATGCTTTCAAAATGTACAGTTTATTTTCAGCTGGGCTTCCTTGTATATCACTTAATATCAAGACATAGTTTAGAAAAATCTCATAATTCAAATTTTTATCATTTATTCTTTTACCAATGAATCATTTTATTAATAGAAAAAAGAATTTATTTAACCTAACCCAGTGGTCGGCAAACTTATTAGCCAAAGAGCCAAATATGAACATTACAACTACTATTATAAGCTAAAAAGTTTAAATTGTATATACGTTTATTTACAAAATGTTTAGAAATTTGTTTGTCAATTTCTAGTTTTGGGAGGTTATTTCTGATGAACATGGCATTGATCCTACTGGCTCCTATAATGGAGATTCTGATTTGCAGTTGGAAAGAATAAATGTTTACTACAATGAAGCATCTGGTAAGTATTCATTTTTAGAGATGTAACGAATATTGGGCAATTATTCAATATTCAGACAGAATAATCTAAAATCCTATTTTTTGCTACACATTATTAGATTGTTTTTAAACATATTCGTTAGGTTCGAAAAGTTAACTTGTGTTCTGAAAGACAAATGGAAAAGCTGTATTTGATATATTAAAATTGGATTACTTTATACTGATCCATGAGTTTTGTATATTTTAAACTATGTTCAGGCTATTTCGTCATTTTTTTCAACATTTAAAAAATTTCAATTTTTGTTATTTTTCCTTGTTTGCATTAACTGTAGTGCAGCATTGTAATCGAGCGTTTCTAATAGATTTCATTCTTTTTTGTTGTCACTTTTTCCTATACCGTAAGACAGATAACCAGTAACATAGAAAGCTGCGCTTTTTTTAAACATGAAATTATATTTCAGAACTAAGAATAACTTTTTCTGTTTCTCTTTAGCTTTTTATTAACTTTTCTTTTTATCAGCATTTTATTATGTCTTGTCTAATGGTTATTCTTTTATAGTTACTTTTTTTAAAATACGGAAATGTAAAAAGTTTGAGATTTTTAGCGTCAAGTCTTTCGTTTAAAAATTAAGAACTATTTTTGCTTAAATTATCTTTCTTTTTTCTGTTTTTACATACATTTTTATTCGAACGTGGCAATTGACAGACAGGGTTTCCACCCTTTTATCAAAGCAAAAATTAAACTTTTTTGAAAAATTAAGGACTTTGAATGATAAACTATTCTGTTTTTAATGTACATATGCTCACAATGATGGTGCCAATTATTTACCTTTCTGTAAAAAAGATTTATTATAATTAAAGTACTGATATAATTGTATTTATTACCAGTCAGCCCAGGCAACTTAGCGAACCTGGGAAGGTTTTTCCAGATGGGCCCACTTGTAGAAACCCACTTTTTCCAAGGTGGGATTTTCAAAATTTATTGTACTAGATCAATAAATTGTGCCTGAAAAGCAAAGAAATTGTAAATTGTTCTTATAACAGGACTTTCAAATAATTTATCTCTTCATGAACTGAAAAGCATTCAACATGTTTAAAGAGCAAACTAATGTGCCTTAATGATGGGAAAGTGAAGTATCGGTTCTTTAACTGATTTTCTTAAACTATGTCTATTTTGAAGGTCATTAGGCTGTCCACTTGGAAACTTTTCTTGGTGAAACACAACCTAGCATGCACTGTATTGCACATGTTTTAGGCCACAAACAAATTGCAGTTACTAGCTTTCTATATTCAAATCGCCACATGACAAGGAATATCCGCTGAAAGAAAAAATTCAGGAAGATTCTCCTGCTTGTGGCAATTTGAATGTAGAAAGCTAGTAACCGCAATTTGTTTGTGGCCTAAAACATGTGAAAGACAGCGCATGCTAGGTCACATGGCACCTAGAAAAAGCTAATGTGCAGCCTGTATGTGGGTCTTCTACTTGGGTATCTTAGAACTGCCTCCCCCCTAAAATAAGCATGATCTTTTTCCATGAACACTATTCCTACACCCTATTTTTTTCTTTTTCAGAATGTTCCAGTCTAGTGTGGTCAAATTCTAAAGAAAATGAATATGTTAACGTAAGAACCAATATATTAATGAAAGAAGGGCATGCTTCCTTCCTCTTGCATGTAGCCTCCTCACATACACGCTTGTCTCAAATGCTCTACCCTCATGCATGCTTTCCCTTTTCTTAGACTTCTTGTTTTAAACGTTTTTGTATGGCTGAAAAATTGTTTCTATCAACCATAGTGATACTGAAAATTAAGGACTTAAGATCACTAATTCTCCAAAATAAAAATTAAGCAGTTAAGGAGTATGGGAATCCTGAGAAGGTTTCTGTTAGACTTTAAACTTTACTTTTTCTTGCAAATATGGTAACTGAAATGTTTAGCTTCTAAAATTTTCATTCAAAAATTAAGATTTATTTTTATATTCAGTGTTGCTTTTGTAAATCTTTTTTTATCAGCGTCTTAATGATAGCACTGCAATTTAGACTTTTTTTATAGTCATTGTCTCTTAGTGGATAATTTTTTCCTGGAAAATATTTTTAGCATCAAAGTATTGTTTTACGAATTAATACAATACTTTTTCTATTTCTGTATTTGGCCAAATCTCTATTCGTTACATCCCTATTCATCTTATAAATTATGATCTATATATTGTTCTTTAAACATTAGTTTATAGAATTTCAAATCTAACTCTTAACCTTCGCATTTATTTTTTAATGTTAATTTTGTTCCAGTTAAATTTTCTTGTGTAGTATCTTATAAAATTTGTTTAGCATCTATTTAAAATCTATTACCTTTTGCCGATAAAAAATTAAAGAATATATCAAAGATGAATTGGTATTATATACTGGTATTATGTATAATACAAAGTTTTAGCTAATTAATTTTCCTATCTTGTTTAATAATTTTTTAGTTTTAAATACCTTAAAGGGCTTTACTTCCAATACTGTTTTAAACTTTAAGCCTTATCTTTTATTGATTTTATTTTAGGTTGCAAATATGTTCCTCGTGCTATTCTTGTAGATTTAGAGCCTGGAACTATGGACTCTGTTAGGTCTGGCCCATTTGGACAACTTTTTAGACCTGACAATTTCATTTTTGGTATGAGCTTTTTAAATTTTTTATTACATGTTAAGGGTGTTTGCCTTTTTATTGTGCACAGAATTATTATATATATATATATATATATATATTTGTAGCATTTTAAGGGTTTTTAATCTAAAAAAAAATTAATCTCTTTTTTTTAAATATTTTTTTTTGAAAGAAAAAACTGGTTTTTAATTCTAGTCTTCTCATTTATTTTTTTTCATAGCGAACAATAGAACAATACATAAGTAATTAAAGTATTCAACATCTTTAAATAATAAATGTAATGAGTTTTTTAGAAACTTTGTCAAATCTATCAATGATTTTTTCAATATCCAAATCAATTTCTCGATGAATGTTTAATAATGAGAGTCCATTTAATCATTCTTGATTTTGAGTTTGCTCTAAGCAAAGTTTTGAGACGTTGAAGAGTTGAAAAGGAACGTTCTGCTGTTGCTGCACTAACTGGCAGAGTTATTAAAATTCTCAACAANAATCAATTTCTCGATGAATGTTTAATAATGAGGGTCCATTTAATCATTCTTGATTTTTGAGTTTGCTCTAAGCAAAGTTTTGAGACGTTGAAGAGTTGAAAAGAAACGTTCTGCTGTTGCTGCACTAACTGGCAGAGTTATTAAAATTCTCAACAACATATTGATTGATGTGTACAAGTCGATGTCACAGGCATCAATAATCGTGGAAAGATCGTACATACTTGGTATAAAAGGTGAAAATTTTTTACTTGTATGTTTTTGCTTAGTTCGTTTAAAATTCAGCAGATACACATTTTATTAAAATTCTGTTTTAGATAACTATTTCATATTAAATTCTAAATTTTTTTTATAAAATATAAGCTAATAAAAAAGTGGGTAATTTTTGCAATGCTTCAAGTACATTTAAGCATCGCAAAAATTACCCACTTTTTATAGTTCATCAATGTTCTTTGTTGAAATTCGAAATATCTTATAATACACAAAGCAATAAAATTTATCTTTGAATTAAAAGCAGAGAATCTTGAAACAGGTTGTAGAACCATTATGAAAAATACTTTTTTTGTAAACTATTAAAATTGTTATTTTTTTCAATTTTGGGTTCCCCTTCCTGCTGGATCTGCCACTGCTAAAAATTAACCCTTAAATTTAAGAAAAATTAAAAATTAATGGAATCTGCATTCAAGATACCTTAAACAATGATTGACATTCTCTTTGTGGTAAGTTATGCAGCAAGGATTTAGTAGTGTAACTTTCTTTAAATTTGTCGCAGAATGGTACGGTTAATGCAGGAACAGATTTTTCCAGGGTGTATATAATTTTGAGAAGGTGCTTATTTCTAGTATTAAGGGAGATAAGAGGTTATTAGTAGCTCCTATAATAATCAAAGTTATATTGATAATATAATGTGTGTTATTTTAAACTAAGCAACTTTTTTAATTTTAGGACAAAGCGGTGCTGGCAATAATTGGGCTAAAGGGCATTACACAGAAGGAGCTGAACTGGTTGAGTCAGTTTTAGATGTTGTAAGAAAAGAAGCCGAAGGATGCGATTGTTTACAAGGCTTTCAGCTGGCCCACTCTCTTGGTGGGGGTACCGGATCTGGTATGGGTACACTGCTAATTTCCAAAATAAGGGAAGAATATCCTGACAGAATAATGAACACTTTCAGTGTGATGCCTTCTCCTAAAGTAATTTAATTATTTTACTTATTCAACAGGGTGCATAGCGTTTTTAAAAAGTGTTTAAAGATATTTATTTTTGATTTTCGTTTTTAAAAACCCTTAAAGGTGCTTTTTTTCATTAGGTGTTTTTAAAAAGTGTTTAATTTTCCCTTTTTCAAAATGAGATTTTCCTTTACTATGTTGATTTTTGCTTCCAATTATGCAGAAAGACACAGTTTGCATTGTTCTATTCAACGTTTTCACAATTAATGCAACCACAATCTATTTTGGCGCATTGTCAGTCCGTATCATATGAAAACGCCTTTTGTTTCAAATTATTCAAAATTTAATAATTTTTGAAAATTGTCAAAAACAATGCCAAAAGTTTCTCTTTTTTTTTTTTGACATGACTGTTAAAACAAGATAAAACAGTCAATTATCAAACTTTTTAACCCTGCCTGATTATATTTTTTTAGAATGCTTAAAAATATTTTTTGAGTGCTTAAGAGGTGCTTATTTTTTGTTGAATAATTTGGCTACGCACCCTGATTTAGTATGTATCTAATTGTATTTAATATGAAGCGATGTATATTTTTAAGAATCCCTTATTACAGTGAAACCTTGGGAGCGACCACTCTGTTCCACAGTAAAATGGTTGTTGGAGGTTGGTCGTTCTTAGATGTTATCTCCAGTGATTTCAAAATTGTTATCGAACGCACATGATTTTTGCGAACAATTTTAATTTTTCTGGGTGCAGAAATGCTACTCTGATTGGCATCGGGAAAGGACTGATCAATAAATAAAATTTAGAGTCTATAAAAATGATCACAGCTGATATAATGTGTAAAAACAAATTTACATATTATGAAAGAATAATTTTAAATAATTATGTTTTTTGTATAAGTTTGCCTTTAATTTTACATCAAAATTGCTTAGCTTTAAAAGATAAGAGGTTTGTTTTGAGATGTTTTTTTTTTTGAAAATTTTTCTAATTTTACTTCAAACTATAAAAGTAAATCATTAATAGCATTGCTTTAACTGCATTCAGACTGCAACAAGAGATTGTATCCTCAAAGGGCTCTCAAACTAAGAGCCTCACATAAATATTTTATTACTATTTGTTTTAAAATTTTTGGTATTGTTAATGTTTCCTTATTTGACCTTTTCCCTGATGATGCAGATGTTCTTCGGGTAGCTAGATGCTTCAATGGTCTCTCAAAAGTGGTCGTAAATAGGTCTTTCCTGTAGGATTTACAGTATTTGCCAATTCAAAATACACATTTGTAAGAAATGTTCTTAAAACTGAATATACTAGTTAGTATAATCTGATATTTCATTTAGTTTTACTTAATTTACCAGTGACTGATGCAGTTGAATACAAACTTCGAACATAATTACGACAGAAATTTTAATCTAATTTAGATTTTTGAAATTGATTAAGTAAAATAAATGTTTGTAAAGAGTGATTTGAATGTTTAGAAAGCTACATGTATAAAAAATTTTCATAGTCATTTTAAAGATATAAACTGATATATCCCCCAATATGCTTATTTTGACAACTTCACGAAGAGAAATGGCGCCAAACAGAGCTTTGCACATATAGAACACTGTAGTCAAGAGATCGTTGCTATTCATCATGCGTTAATTTTTGGTATTTATTGCACATTGATACAGTCAGACTTCTATTTAACGAACTTTTATTTTGCTAATTTCTCCATTTTGAGATTTTTTTTTCTCCAAGAAACAAAGAACGTTTTGGACATTTCTTCGTAAATTAACTTCCAAATAGCAAAGTGAATTTTCTATTTAAGGCACTTTTCTTTGATATTCACTTTCCCCACTTCCCAAAATATTTCAAACTTGTTAACGCATTTTATGAAGGAGATGACCTTGAATTGATTCTCGAACCCACTTTTAGAGAAAGCAGTAAAATCCCTCTTCCTTTTTGTTTGCATTTCAAATGAAAAACTCAGACAATTGACTGATTTTTATCAGTAGTAATTAAACTTAAGAACGTATGTGGCAATGTATGTTTAAAATTACTTTTATAATAATGCTATAGTTTTATACATAAATTTGGCTTTTTTTAGTTGAAAATATATGTAGCATAATAGTGGAACACTGGATAATGTTTTGCTCTATTCTTGCTTTCCGTGCAGATTTCTTTAATGGTTAAGATTTATAAAATTAGTAGACTAGTTTAAAGGTTTCTCAATTGCTATTTTAATTATGTCTAGTGCTAATGAATTTAAAACCTATTTTGTGTTTAAGTATCTCAAATGGCGATTTTCTATTTAACGAATTTTCCATATAACGAACTTTTCGGGATTTAATGACTTTGTTAAATAGAGGTCCGACTGTGTTTTGATATTATGTCAACATTTTTCGATATATATAGTGTCTATATTTTGTATTAAAGTTACCTTGAAAATAAGTTTTACCCAGGTTTAGTTTACAGGTCATGAGAATCTCCTCTTGTGATTTTTGTACATAAGATTATGTTGTAAGACATATTTAATTTGTTATGAATATTGCATTGCTTTCCTTAATCACTGTTTCCTTTATTCTGAAGGCATAGGAGTAAGGCTTGAATCGAAGCGTTAAATGCTATGATTGGCATTCTCAGGAAGTAAAAGATTCTAAGACCAGAAGAATGACTACACTTGTGTAGAAAAAGCTGACAGCCCTTCGTGAAATAAATTATCTTGCTGAAGGGGTGTCCAAATATATTCTTCAGCGATGGCTCTTGATGACTAATTAATAATGAAAGCTGTCATGAAAGGACCTCACTTTTCTTTAAGTCTCTGAAGCAATTTTCGGAGTAGTATTTTAAGACATTCTTAGGGAATAGTGAAACGATCAAAAATAAGTCATAAACTATGTAGAATTCTATATTATATTAATTTGTATCCTCCCTGTTTTATTTGTAGTAATTCAATCAACCTACTTTTATCTCTTCATAAATGTTGTTGGCTAATAAACATCTCACAAACAAAAGTGGATTTTTGTTTTCAAATGTAATCTAATTAAAAATTGATCTTGTTTCTATAAGTATTAAAACTACTTTATTTGATCTTTTTTGACCATCCATATTTTTTCTTATAGGTATCGGACACAGTAGTTGAGCCATACAATGCGACCTTATCTGTTCATCAGTTAGTTGAGAATACTGATGAAACTTATTGCATTGACAATGAAGCTCTTTATGACATTTGCTTTAGAACATTAAAACTGACCAATCCAAATTACAGCGATCTCAACCATCTAGTGTCTGTTACAATGTCTGGTGTCACAACGTGTCTTAGATTCCCAGGTCAATTGAATGCCGATCTCCGCAAATTGGCAGTAAATATGGTTCCCTTCCCCCGTCTCCATTTCTTTATGCCTGGATTTGCACCACTGACCTCAAGAGGAAGCCAACAGTACAGAGCCCTTACCGTTCCTGAGCTAACGCAACAAATGTTTGATGCCAAAAACATGATGGCAGCATGTGATCCTCGTCATGGCAGGTAAGACTGCTTCAGTACTCGGGGTCTGCCATAATGACCAGTGACCACCCTTAATGTATTATGTAAAAGCTGGTTATAATGACCCATATTACTTTTCTTAACAACTTACTATTTACATAAATGATGCAATATATTTATTCCACTTCATTTGCAAATGACAAATTATTTAACATATCTTTTAGTCTTGTTTTAATACTATTTTAACATTAAATGTGTTTTGTTATATGGCAATTCTATCTGCTACTGTGAATTGTTTTTATAACAATTCTGGTGTTACTAGAAGTTTCAAAAATGTAAAGGTTATAAATTAGCGGTTGCAAAAATATTTAATGCAGGTGCAAATGATGGCTATTCATTCATCAATAGCTTAACAATCCTGGATGAACCCTGGCTTTCTCAAGAGGCCTGTCTTTCTGCCCGCAACAGCCATCCAGTCTCTGGCGTTAATTGATACAGTCACTTTGTAGGCAATCCGTCTACCTCAATCTGGCTTCACCGGAAAAGTTTGTCATTCGATCATCATTCTTAATGTGGCTGACCTATTTCATACGTTGAACCTTATGATACTTCAGAATATCCGGTTCTCTGAATAACCCCGTAAAGTTCAGAGTGAGCTCTCATACGCTCTTTCTTTTTTGGTGCTTAGGAAAATAAAATTCCTGCAGAGCAAATGACAATTACAGCCATTGGAAAGTTTTCAGGAAGAAAACTATTACAATGTCTTAGCCTCCAAAAGCATAAGATCGATGTTTAATTTCATGTGGCTGACATAAACAATTGAGGAAAAAATTAGTTTTTGAACACAATCTTTAAATTAAAATTGTGTGGGGATGTGTTAAGATGGGGAAAAAATTTTGTTTAACAAATTTTATCTGCAGAAAATTCTATTTGCTTACTAGAAAAACAAAGCATATGAAGAGATTGCACTTATTTTATCATGCAATGAATTTAGCTTTTATGCTTTTCAGTTCCCTTTTTCTCAATAGTGATTAATTTGATTTTTATAGTGTTTTTTTTTTTTCTTTGCTTAAATATAAGTTAAAAATTCTTAGAATACTCGAAACAGAACAAATTAATACTGACTTGCAAATGGAACCGAAAAATCGGCAATTTTAGATTTTTTCTCCTTCCTGCAGAAGCTTTGAAATTAGGGTTTCCTATGTTGATAAACATTGTTAAACTTCAGGGTTGATTGTGTTCTGGGTTCATCCAGGAATTCTGTGGGTTCTTTGTATTATCCGGCTTGGTCTAGAAACTACAAGCAGGTCATGTGATTTTCTTTTTTTACACGAAGTTCCATGAATCAGAACTTATAATCCAACTAAATTTTCACCGCAATCTAAACTTTGGAACCTCTGCTAAATAATGTTACTGTAACGTTGGAATTCCTTTGGAATCCGCTACAATCTCTTTATATTCAAGCGATTTTAATATCAAACATGGATTTCCATATTTACCTAATTTAAGTTACTCACTGTAAATCGTATTTATGAGATTTAAAAATCTTATATTACAAAATTGAACAATCCGATGTTGCGATTATTTTAAAAACTAAGTTTTTTTCTTCTTAGATTTACTTGTAAAATAATGCTATGAGAATACAGGCATAGCTCTTAAGTTGGTAAATTATAATCAGTTTTAACTATCTGTAAAATATTTTTAAGTTAGGTAAGAAACGTTTTAAGGCTCATCTTTTGCTCACAATTCTGTGTGTAATAGAACAAAGTCTAATAAATTTTCACTTTTATAGGTATCTGACTGTTGCAACTATATTCCGTGGCCGTATGAGTATGAAGGAAGTAGATGAACAGATGCTCAATATTCAGAATAAGAACAGTATGTTCTTTGTTGAATGGATTCCAAACAATGTCAAAACTGCCGTTTGTGACATTGCTCCAAGGGGACTTAAAATGTCTGCAACATTTATTGGCAACAGTACTGCCATTCAAGAGCTCTTCAAAAGAATTTCTGACCAATTCACCGGTAAGATTTGCGATACATGTTTTGTTTAATATACTGTAAGTATACTTATATTTTCATACTCAATAAAGTGCTGAAAACTGCTTTGCTAAAAAATGGAAAAAATTATTTGGTAATTTTAAATTGTAAATCCCTTTTTTTCAGCAATGCTAATAAAAATTTAAGCTAAATCCTATTAGTTAAATGGAAAAATAAATTCACAAGGAGTCGTTTTCTTCATATATCAAAGACTTAATGTTTTTATATAATGTTCATAATTCATATAGGTGATAGCAATGCTCTAATACACAATGGGGGGGGGAGTAGACCGGCTCCATACCTTTAGCCCTTCTCCCTCTTTTTAGTTGTATAGGAATGTACTATTTTCTTAGTATTCTTTTTTAATTTTTAAGCTGTCTATGATGGTTTCTTTTAGAACTATGTTTAATGTAGTTTTCAGTTCTATATAGTTAAAAGATTGTAATCTATTAGAAAATCAAGACAAACTAATATACTTCCTTCTTTCACGACTCTCGACACGCTAATGGTGAAAGCATGTGAAGTGTTGCCATAGGTAGAGTTCTGCTGTACACCACATTTTGATTGCCAATATCTATTTTTAGGCTTTTAGGGAGTATTTTTCTTTGTTAATTTTTATGAAGCTTTTGTAGAATACTCTTATTTAAATGTTCTAAAAAGCAACTAATCTGAGAAGATTAATAACGTCGAAAGGATTGTGACCATTTCTTTTCGAATGAAGAGGAGGAACTTCCAAGATTTTATCTTGAAAATTGGTGTATTAATCAAATTTTAAAGTAACATGTATTTTATTTTCTCACCTTTAGAAATTTTTAAGACTCATCAGGGGCTAAGTTAAAATGCATAATGAACCAAATATTCTGACATGTCTTGCTGAAACTAACTCTTATTAATATTTCATTGCCTGCTCAAAGAATAGGCCTTAGTTTTACCTTACCAAAAGTATTAATAAAATGCTTTGAAAAATTCTTAAGTGCTCTAGATGGGGTAGATTTTTAAGAAGTTTATTTAAACAAAGTTTAATTATTCGAATTAATGCTTTTATATAGCAATTAAGAAATAAATCATATTTCTGACCAAATGTAAAGACAATTACTGTATGATCTCGACATTAGTTTTTAAGGAAGTTAAAACATTCCACTACAGTTGTCATGGAACATAGCACAACCAAATGTATGAATTTTTCCCGTTGTAAATATGCAAAACTATCTTCCAAAGAATTTTTTTCTCAAATTTTATGTGCAAAAAAGTGGAATGATCAAAATTTGTATTTTATCTGCGCACTGATCATTTATTTTTGTTTTTAGCTATGTTCAGGCGAAAAGCTTTCTTGCATTGGTATACTGGTGAGGGTATGGACGAGATGGAATTTTCTGAAGCTGAATCAAACATGAACGATCTTGTGTCAGAGTATCAACAATATCAAGATGCTACTGCTGAAGATGAAGGTGACTTTGAAGATGTAGAAGAGATTGCCAACGAAAGTGCTTAATTTATACTTGTGATTAACTTTTTGCCTAATTGGAATTTGGACTTAACATTCCAGTTGTTTGGTCTGAACTACTTACAGTGTACAGCTTCCTATACTATTTTAATACTAACTTTTTGAAATAAAACATTTAATTTGAAACTATTAGTTGATTTCATGTCCTTTTTCACAGTGCTTCTTGGGATATTCTCAATATTGCCAAATCAATGAATTTACAGGTGGGGCAGAGCAGAACCCTCTCTGCTTATGGCAACACTTGACATGATTTTGTCACTAGTGGACCATCAAAGGAGAAAGAACTGTTAGTTTCTGTCTTGATTTTTCAAAAAGATTAAAATTTTTAAGTTAAGAAATTACATGAAACTCCAAAATTTGCATTACATAGTTCTTAAAGTGTTGTGGACATTTTTAGAAATATTTTTTAAAATTAAATTCAAAAACTATTATGGAAGGGGTAAATATTGTACCATACTTTACATTACCATACAAATGAGGGGGAAATTAAGGGGAATTAGTGTAATTACATTAAGATGCATCGAAGTAATAAGGAGTGCAATGTTTGCAGTATGAAACCATAAATTTAGTGAGTGCACATATCGCTCCATTTTTATTTGCTATACGCTTGTAAATTGAACAACCCTTTGAAAATGGATTTACTTCTTAAACATTTTTTAAATCTTTCTTTTGGAAAAGATAAACCTTTCAATCCCATCCCTATGGTTTTGGCAAAACTTTTCATTTTTGCTGAATATTTAAACAATTAAAATCCTGCTGTGGCAACATTTGATTTTATAAACTAGAATATGTACTTATAGGAAGAAAAAGTTTCAAATTTTAACTTTACAAATACACTTTAAGTTAAATTGCTCGTTACATGTGTTTTAGATCCCAGATTTAAAGTGAACATGAGGTAATTTTTTTTTTTTTTAAAAATTCACTGAAGGATTTTAAAATAGCGTATTTGTTTAGTTACCAAAATGTGAAATCGATTCAACATTGTTTAAAAAAATTTGTAACTTTCAATATTCCTTTTTCTTTGCTATAAAGTTCATTTTAAAGTATCAATAAAAACGTTGAGAAGTGTTTGAGTAAATGATGATCACTGACAGTGTAACTTGCTATGTATTCCATAAGTTTATTCTATTCATAAAGTTTTTATTTGGATTCCTTTACTCTAACCCTCTATAGAATTCACGTTGTAACTTTCATCTTTTTGTTCTTATGGGGGAGGCAGAATGAAATTTGTTTTTTTTTTGTATAAATGCTACAAATCTTTCAAAACTTAAGAAAATTTTCATTATTCAGATAATTAAAAAGTAGAGTTTTTCATATTTAAAAAATATTCCTAACAAATATTTGATTTCACAAAAACCATCCTTTAATAAAATCGTGTTTCGACAATTTTTTTCTTCCATTCCACTGTGGGCCAAAAGCCAAAAATTAAATTTTAGACAAAAATATGTGTAGGCAGTTTTAATATAGCCCAAATTAAGTATTCATAATCATTCCAAACATTATAATTTGCTTTTTGGACAGACAAGAGTATAATGTAATGAAAAATATGTTAAAAGTTACTTTAAAAAAAAAAATTTTTAAATTTTTATTTCAGAAATACATATAGGAATTTCACTTTACTGTTAAATTCATTTATAGTACTATTTTTCAATTTGTTGGATTAGTTAATACTCTTGACAAACTTTTAGTTTATATCTTATCCTTTGATATTTTACAATGTTTGAATGACTTTCGAAACTTAGTTCCCAAAAGTTCCACGAGGTAATTAGCTAAACTTTTATTTGTGGTCTTTGTTTCTTCTTTCGAAAAAAACCTGCCCCATTTTGCAAAGGTGGATGAAATATACCGAAAAACAAAACTTATGTTTTTTTTCTTCATGTTTTCGCATTATTTTGTAATATTACTTCAGAAATATAATTTGCTTTTAATATGAAATTGCGAAAATTATTATATTTTCATTGCTATATTTAAACGTACTATGTTATTTTTATTTTTGCTCGCCATATTTCAGCCGCCATTTTGTTTTTTTTTGGGGTATTTTTAGTGTATTTCAAAATTTCAACTATGAATTCAATTTACCTGCACATAAAAACCCCCAGATTTTGAAACAAATTTGTATCGAAATACTAATTTTGGCCACGATACTTTGGATGCTGGCCCACTGTGCATTCCTGCAGATTTTAATTTTGAAAAAGTGGCTGATTCCTTAATCCTGTGGTTTATCACTACAATAAAACAAAGGAAATATTAAAAACTCAATGTTAACAAATTTAGCAAAATGAAAGAGACATGGTATCAGACTTGTATGTATTTATTTATAAAAATCTCGCTTCCGGGGCCGGGGGNGGGGGGGGGGGGGGGGGGGGATTGAGAATACAGGTTTTTTGCAACTGACTTAATGCTTAAAAAAATCGAACAGAAATTAGGATGAACAAAATGAATGTATCACATGCTGCTTTGCTACACAATAAATGCATATGGAATATCACTTGGTGGCTGTTTACAATCCTATGGTATATGACCTTCCATTGGGATTATGCAATGTTCCTATGGAGGGTTTAGTTACCAACCATTCGTACCACACTTGGCGCGGAGAAACACATCTCCAGAAGTGAGCTTCAAGCTGTTGATTTGTTGTCACGTGTATAGGATCCTGAAATTAAATAGGTAACAATTTGAAATTATTAACGCTTAAAAGGGTTGCTACTTCTTTACCAAGATTTTTATGTATTATGGAGGTAAAATATGAAATATTAACAGGGTGCGTAGCCATATCTTTCAACAAAAAATAAGCACCTTTTAAGTACTATACACATTAACAAAATGCAAAATAATTTTCAAAGACTTTACATGATCAGGATAAAATAACTAGTTTCTGACAAAGAACTCTTTTTCTTTTCATAATGGCTAATATAATCAAGATCAAGAGATTTTTCGGTTTGATATCAGAGGGTGGGAAATGAAATCTGAAATTGAGAATATTTTGCGAAATTCAGCAGAGTTGCACATGAGAGTGCAATAATTTCACCAAACCCAGCTCAGTGGACGCACATGCGGACCAGCAAGTATTTCATCAAACATGTCAAATAATTGGCGCCTATGGGGGGCCAAGCTCCTAAATGGTCGAGCCATTTTTGAAAATTTAAAAATTTTCGCAAACTGCAATTAAATACTATTTCAAAGGTATGCAAAAAAGGTATTAATTTTTTTTTTATACATAAGTTATATTTATTGAAAGCATATAAGTAAAAGGACAAAATATGTGTATTGAATTTAAAATTAAACACATTTATTTTACTTCTCTTGATAATTCTTTAAAATTTAGTGAATAATTGGTGGCAGCACTTCTCATCAATTCTTTGAGATGCTTGTTAGTAAAATTCAGAGACCAATCAGTATTAACTAATTTTAAAGTGGAATAAAATTATTCACTTAAGTACGTTGTTCCGAATATTAAAATCATTCGACAAGTAGCCCTTTTTAATACAGGATACTTCGAATCGGGTACAAATTTCCAAAATTCAGTAATCGACGTCGACTTATATTTTAATTGTAGAGCTTGATCTTCTTGCGCCTCAATTAGTTCTAATCCACCCGATGCTTTTTGTGTCATAATTATATTGGAAATGGAAAATTTACCTTAAATTGATCAACGTTGCACTTAGTCTTTCATATTAGTTATCAGTAATTTAAAAAACATTTTGAAACACATACGGAACAATAATAATTTTTTAAAATATAATAGCACAAAAAGGAAAAGAGAACTTGGGTGCATTTATCGAGAACCACAAATAATTCTTCAAAGAGACGCATGTGGCTCGCTAGCCGCAGGTTGGCCACCCCTGCTATAGACCGACGACAAGTCGAAATGGATTATGGTTGAATGAATTGTGAAAACATTGAATAGAACAATGTGAAAAGTTTTTGCATAATACATGGCGAAAATCAACATGGTAAAGAAAAAAAATCTAATTTTCGAAAAGGGAAAATTGAGCACTTTTTGAAAACAGTAAATGAAAAAAGCCCCATTAAGGGCTTTTAAAGAACGAAAATCGAAAATAAGCACTTTTTAAAAATGCTACACACCATGATTAAAACATAAGATTTAATACATGGTTCAATTTTTTATAAAAAAAATTTGCTAGTCATGAAAAAAATGTCCATATCATTTAAGAAAAGACTTAACTTTTATAGAGATAAAATTTTTTGATTTAACTAAGTTTACTAACAAGCCCTTAGTTTTTAAGATGCAACCTTGACTGATAATAAGCCATCTTTTTTATTGCGTTCTATGAGGCTGTTAAAAAAAATTGCCAGTTATTATTGATGCGTAATTGTGATAATAGGTATTGATAGTATCATTGTAGCAAATATCGCAGTTATAGGCTTTTACGAAATAGTACCAAAATATTAAATCATTCTTTGTAGGAAAGTAAGTTTAGGTAAACAAAACTCACAATTGTGTGCAAGAATTGCTTCATTTACCAGTAAATTAAATGGGAGAATGCAAAAAAATAAAATTAACATTTAATAGACTCAATCTTTTTTCTGTTACATTTTTCGAATTACCTGAATCAAATTTTTACTAGTTAAAACAGGAGTGATTGTAACACAAATTGAAAACCCCTGAAGCTTTTATGTCAAAAAATTGATATCAATTTATATACCATCCATGTTTCATATTTAACATACATTTTACAATTAAATTAGCTACTAATGAAGAACATCACATTTTTATAGTAACTTAGGCAATAAAAGACTTACTTCTTACGAGAATCACGATGTTGGATTTTAAAATAGCGTGAATATGAATAGCAACGCATAACTTTTAAATCAGGTAAATACGAAAATCAATATTTGATAACTAAATTTGTGATAATAAGAATCCAATATTAGCAGATTCCAATGCAATGCCAAATATTCAAAATCGCAAAATTTCGCCAAACCAAAAGGTATCATTGTATTATTCTGAAAGAATCGTGTTTTAGTTTGATAATAATATTAGTACACTCTTACAATTTAAGTTTATTCTTAAGTGGAAAAAATTACCTCAGAGAATCAGGGTTTTTTTTCAACTCAAGTGCAAGAAAATATTTTTAATAAAAGAAATGTACAATATTAAAAAAATTTTTAAACACTTAATATTTAAAATTTTAATTTAGTTTAATTAATAGTATACTTCTTTAAACTATTTCATTATGACAGATTTAGAAACAAAATTAACATCCAATATCATTAACAGATTCATCAACATACAAAAGAAAGAAAAAACTTAAAAAGAAAATTTAATTAGAAAACAAAACTTTCATTGAAGTAATATTTTTAATAGAAAATATGAGGTCGAAATTTTGATAATAAATCATTTCTAACAAGAGTTTTACATAAAATTAGTAACATTCAAAAATACATAAATCAACAACAATAAAATTTGAAATACTATTTTTACATTAATTTTTTTAATAGGCAAAAGTTCTTATCAAGAACACTTTAAGAAAAATAAAGTAAAAAACTTACTTTTAGAGGGAAAAAAATTGGAAACCAACTAAACAATCCTGTTGAATGAGAATTAGGAAGAATACCTAAAACAGAAGATACAACTTAATGAATTAAATACTTTATTTAAAAAAACTTATTTTATTAAAAATAAAATTTTGAAATAGAATCCAGGAGATATATAGTACAGTTGCACATGATAGTCTGTAACCATAAACTTTAATTAATTTTTTAAAAAAAGTGATAAAAATGAAATTTAAATAGATATTTAAAATTTAAAAAAGCAAAAAAATAGAGCAAACTTAAAAAAAAAAAGTTGGCATATTTAATAACTAAACTTATAAAATAATTGGTTAATAGAGAAATTGCGAAAAAATTTACTGTCGGAAATTATTATTATTACTTTTTTTTTGAAACTGTAAATTATTAAATCTTATGAAATTCTTATAAAACTAACAATGTTTCACAGCATATTCAAAGCTGAAAAACAAATTACAGGAAATGAAAAATTTCATAAGAATTACAGTAAAATAAAAAAATTCTGTTTAAATACTGGTAGAATTAGCTTAAAATATTAATTTTATATTAAAAAACTATAAATCTTACTAAAATCTGAAACATTGTAATCAAAACTTGCATGTTATAGTTAATAACATGACTAATTACGGGAGTGTCCGCTTTATGTTGGGAGTGTATAAGGGTTTATTCATAGAAAATTCAAAGGGAATTAAGAGTATGAGAGGTGTCCATTTAATAGGAGTGTCCGTAACGTGAGGTTTTACTGAATTAGACATTCAACATAAACATTTCAATTGATTAGAAACAATCAGAAATTTTGAGTGAAAAGTAGCGTGACTTACTTAATGTGATATCTTTATACAAAACAGTGTCGAAATAACCAGCAAAGCCATGAATTGTGCTGTTATATGGAACGTCAAAAGTTAGCTTTCCGTATCTTGCATTATCAGGAACTTCAACTAAATTAAAGAGATGAAAATAAATTTAGTAAAACATAATTTTATGAGGCAAAAAAAAAAAAAAACTTATTATGCAATAAGAAGTTATACTTTACCATTGTTTGGATGAGAAAATGAGAACAGAGATTGAGGAACAGAAAGTGCTGTATGATTGTGTAAGTGAACAACGTATGGCATTTCAAAAAAAGCCTGTAAAAACATATTTGAATTTAATAACAAATAAGGTAGCAAGTTTGAGACAAAAATTTTATTTAAAATTGATTTTCAACTGAAATTGAGAAGGCAGTTAAGTCTTGGTCAATATCGACTTTGGCTGCTGAAATAAGTTTACTTGACACTTACTTCATTTCTCTAACATAGAATAAAACTGTTGAGGATAAAATAAACATGACATTTAACACACCAAATGTGGAAAAAGTTAAATAAGGAAACACGAAAAAATATCAAAACAAAACATATTATTAAAACAAATAAGTAGATTTAAATGTATTCAAAATAATTGTGATTGGCTCTTACTTAGAGAGCTCTTTTTGACGATCTATGAAAGAAATCAACAACCTCATGTTGCAGTCAGTGTGCTTTTTTAGAAAATAAATTTCAATTTAATAATTTTCAACAATTTTCAAAATAAAAATTTTATTTAAAAAAAATTTGTATCTCAAACAAACAAAGCTCTTCATATTTTTTAAAGCTTACTAATTTTTATGACATAAAATTAAATGCAAATTTAAACGAAAAACATATTCATTTAAAATAGTTCTATCGTTCATGATTGGCAAATTAATTTTTATACATAATTCAATAAAGGTCATTTTTATTGACACTAAATTTTATTTATCAATCCGGTTATCAAGGGGCATTTACACATCAAGGAAATAGCACTTAGTAAAATTAAAATTCCTTGCAAAAAATCATGTACCTTCGATAACATTTTGAAGTCAATGGAGGAAACCCTTAAGAACTAACAACCTCCATTAACAACTATTATACTGTGGAACAGAGTGGTCGCTCCCGAGAGGTTTTACTGTATTAATGTAAACAAGAGAAAAAACAGATCAGGCCTTACAGAAATCAGTTAGTGAACATACATTATTGCATTAATAACGTATAGTGAAGCTAACTTGCATTTGTGCTATAATAAAGTTGTGTGGCATAATTGCAAAAAAAAAAACATACTTAAAATTTATGAAAAATTATAACAAAATGCTAGGAAACACCAAACATAACAATAAGATACAACACATATGTTTTAATTATTTTATCTTGAAATTCATAGCACAGATAATTTAAATATTGTTCAAAAACCTACTAAAAAATTTGCATCTCTACCTATATGAAAGATACTTTCTCAGTTTCCATTCACCCTCTAGCTTCATTCTTTTTATAATTCCATATTGTTAATTTATACTTTGTCTTGTATGCGTAATTTTATCCCGTAACTTTTTTTTTGCATCATGAAATAAATTTGATTCTGCAGTCCTATAGATTTTAACTGGACTTGTTTACATTTATTTTATTGTATTTATTTTGCAGTACAGAAATGTTTCTTATTTTTTTAAACAATCTTAATTTAACTATTTTATTTCAGAACTCCTTTGATTTAAAAAAAATTGACCATATCTTTTCTTATATTCATAATAATCTGACTATTGTCATTCATTATTTAAAGAAGATATGTGTTATAAAATGGAGAAAATAGCAGAACCACTTTCACATATTGTCTCGTAAAACTGAACTCTCTTTCTGGATTATAAGACACAAACTTTACATTCAACATACAATTTGACAATACAAAAATAAATTTGTATTTCAATGATGGAAAGAAATTCTACTTACCAATGGTCCTTTGTCTTTTTCCCTCATCTGAGCTATTTCACTGTACAGTTTTGGAGCACTTACTGGAGTAACGTAATTTGTATAACTACAGGGTATACTAATTCCATCGTCTATAAGATAAATTTTTTTAATTAACTTATTGCACATCAGTGAAGCAAAAGAAAATTTATCCTAATTTATACTATGCTCTAATAAATAAATAGATAATTTGTCTTCATTGAGCATAAGTGTATATTACTTACATAACCAACATATTGCATGCAATTCTTGGTTGTTGTTTTTTTTTTTTGTGGCAAAGTATGGAATATAAGAATTTACTTTACCAAGGAATTGTATACAATGACAAATGCTCTTTAGATAAAGAATGAAAATGAGAATGATAGAGAAAGAAGTAACATAGTCTTTCCTTCTTTTTTTTAAAAAGAAACATTGACGAAGGTGACACCTAGACAAGAATAAAATTTTCGTTATTCTTCTTTTAATGAAACATAAATATTACTTTAACTGGCTTATTTGATTACTATAAATAATATCTTGTTAGGAAAAACAGAAGTGTAGGCAATAGCCTACACATATCTTTTTTTGGTTAATCTAGTTATTATAAATAATACATGGTGATTACTAAATATTTACGTCTTTTTTTTAAAGAATAATATTGAGAGCCTTTATAATCAGTTTTATTTATTCAGTGAATAAACATAGCCTATTTATAACATAAAACTATTTATAAAATTAAAATGAAACAAAATCCATAAAATAAGTCTTATGTAAAATTACCACAAACTTTTACTTTGTTCAGCATAAAATAACAGAAGTAAACATAAAGATTTTCTATTTATTACTAACATCTTTTAATTTTGCCAGTTCCTCACAGTCGTGATGAAATCAATCAGGTAAGTGCTGTTACTCAGAACCTTGACTTTTACTTTTTACTTTTTTCAGTATAAAATAGCAGAAGTAAACATAAAGATTTTCTATTTATTACTAACATCTTTTAATTTTGCCAGTTCCTCACAGTCGTGATGAAATCAATCAGATAAGTGCTGTTACTCAGAACCTTGATGAAAATCAGTCAAAGGTATTGACAAGCACTATCAGGTTGCTTTGTTTACTTTCGCCATCACTTCTCGCTGAACAGAGTATAGTTATTCAATTTTAACTTTGTATTTATATTATAAATCATTTTCAATTTCTGAAACTTTCACAGTATTATTTGAATAAAACTTCTACAAAATCTAACCATAGGCAAAAGAGTTTTGGACACTTAAAGANATGCAAAAAAGGTATTAATTTTTTTTTTTTTACATAAATTATATTTATTGAAAACATATAAGTAAAAGTACAAAATATGTGTATTAAATTTAAAATTAAACACATTTATTTTACTTCTCTTGAAAATTCTTTAAAATTTAGTGAATAATTGGTGGCAGCACTTCTCATCAATTCTTTGAGATGCTTGTTAGTTAATACTGATTGGTGTCTGAATTTTACTAATTTTAAAGTGGAATAAAATTATTCACTTGAGTACATTGTTCCGAATATTTAAATCATTCGACAAGTAGCCCTTTTTAATACAGGATACTTCGAATCCGGTACAATTTTCCAAAATTCAGTAGTCGACTTATATTTTAATTGTAAAGCTTGATCTTCTTGCGCCTCAATTAGTTCCAATTCTCCCGATGCTTTTTGTGTCATAATTGTATTGGAAATGGAAAACTTACCTTAAATTGTTAACATCGTTGCACTTAGTCTTTCATATTAGTTCTCAGTAATTTAAAAAACATTTTAAAACACATACGGAATGATGATAATTTTTTAAAATATAATAGCACAAAAAGGAAAAGAGAACTCGGGTGCATTTATCGAGAGCCACAAATAATCCTTCAAAGAGCCGCATGTGGCTCGCGAGCCGCAGGTTGGCCACCCCTGCTATAGACTGACGACGAGTCGAAATGGATTGTGGTTGAATGAATTGTGAAAACATTGAATAGAACAATGTGAAAAGCACGCTTTTGCATAATACATGGCGAAAATCAGCATGGTAAAGAAAAAAAATCTAATTTTAAAAAAAGGGAAAATTGAGGACTTTTTAAAAACACCAAATGAAAAAAGCCCCATTAAGGGCTTTTAAATAACGAAAATCGAAAATAAGCACTTTTTAAAAATGCTACACACCATGATTAAAACATAAAAAATTTAATACAGGGTTCAATTTTTTAAAAAAAAATCTGCTAGTCATGAAAAAAATTTCCTTATCATTTAAGAAAAGACTTTATGGAGATAAAACTTTTGTACAGATACTTTTATAGAAATAAAAATTTTTGATTTAACTAAGTTTATTAACAACCCTTAGTTTTTAAGATGTGACCTTGACTGATAATAAGCCATCTTTTTTATTGTGTTCTATAAGGCCGTAAAAAAAATTGCCAGTTATTATTGATGCGTAATTGTGATAATAGGTATTGATAGTATCATTGTAGCAAATATTGCAGTTATAGGTTTTTACGAACTAGTACCAAAATATTAAATCATTTTTTGTAGGAAAGTAAGTTTAGGTAAACCAAACTCACAATTGTGTGCAAGAATTGCTTTATTTACCGGCAAATTAAATGGGGGAATGCAAAAAAATAAAATTAACATTTAATAGACTCAATCTTTTTCTGTTACATTTTTCGAATTACCTGAATCAAATTTTGACTAGTTAAAACAGGGGTAATTGTAACACAAATTGAAAAACTCTGAAACTTTTATGTCAAGAAATTGATATCAATTTATATACCATCCATGTTTCATATTTAACATTTTACAATTAAATTAGCAACTAATGAATAACATCACATTTTTATAGTAACTTAGGCAATAAAAGACTTACTTCTTACGAGAATCGCGATGTTGGATTTTAAAATAGCGTGAATATGAATAGCAACGCAAAACTTTTAAATCAGGTAAATATGAAAATCAATATTTGATAATTAAAATCGTGATAATAAGAATCCAATATTAGCAGATTCCAATGCAATGCCAAATATTCAAAATGGCAAAAATTCGCCAAACCAAAAGGTATATTTGTATTATTCTGAAAGAATCATGTTTTAGTTTGATAATAATATTAGTACACTCTTACAATTTAAGTTTATTCTTAAGTGGAAAAAACTACCTCAGAGAATCAGGGTTTTTTTTCAACTCAAGTGCAAGAAAATATTTTTAATAAAAGAAATGTACAATATTACAAAAATTTTTAAACAATTAATATATACAATTTTAATTTAGTTTAATTAATAGTATGCTTCTTTAAACTATTTCATTATGACAGATTTAGAAACAAAATTAACATCCAATATCACTAAAAGATTCATCAACATAGAAAAGAAAGAAAAAACTTACAAAGAAAATTTAATTAGTAAACAAAACTTTCATTGAAGTAATATTTTTAATAGAAAATTTTGAAATAGCAATCAGCCAAATGGTAAAAACCTTGGTGAAAGTTCAACAGGGAGGTCGAAACTTTGATAATAAATCCTTTCTAACAAGAGTTTTACATAAAATTAGTAACATTCAAAAATACATAAATCAACAACAATAAAATTTGAAATACTATTTTTACATTAATTTTTTTAATAGGCAAAAGTTCTTATCAAGAACACTTTAAGAAAAATAAAGTAAAAAACTTACTTTTAGAGGGAAAAAAATTGGAAACCAACTAAACAATCCTGTTGAATGAGAATTAGGAAGAATACCTAAAACAGAAGATACAACTTAATGAATTAAATACTTTATTTAAAAAAACTTATTTTATTAAAAAAAAATTTTTGGAATAGAATCCAGTAGATATATAGTACATTTGCACATGATAGTCTGCAACCATAAACTTAAATTAATTTTTTAAAGAAAGTGATAAAAATGAAATTTAAATAGATATTTAAAATCAATTAAAAAAGCAAATAAATAGAACAAACTTTAGCTTAAAATATTAATTTTATATTAAAAAACTATAAATCTTACTAAAATCTGAAACATTGTAATCAAAACTTGCATGTTATAGTTAATAACATGACTAATTACGGGAGTGTCCGCTTTATGTTGGGAGTGTATAAGGGTTTATTCATAGAAAATTCAAAGGGAATTAAGAGTATGAGAGGTGTCCATTTAATAGGAGTGTCCGTAACGTGAGGTTTTACTGAATTAGACATTCAACATAAACATTTCAATTGATTAGAAACAATCAGAAATTTTGAGTGAAAAGTAGCGTGACTTACTTAATGTGATATCTTTATACAAAACAGTGTCGAAATAACCAGCAAAGCCATGAATTGTGCTGTTATATGGAACGTCAAAAGTTAGCTTTCCGTATCTTGCATTATCAGGAACTTCAACTAAATTAAAGAGATGAAAATAAATTTAGTAAAACATAATTTTATGAGGCAAAAAAAAAAAAAAACTTATTATGCAATAAGAAGTTATACTTTACCATTGTTTGGATGAGAAAATGAGAACAGAGATTGAGGAACAGAAAGTGCTGTATGATTGTGTAAGTGAACAACGTATGGCATTTCAAAAAAAGCCTGTAAAAACATATTTGAATTTAATAACAAATAAGGTAGCAAGTTTGAGACAAAAATTTTATTTAAAGTTGATTTTCAATTGAAATTGACATGGTAGTTAAGTCTTGGTCAATGTCGATTTTGGCTGATGAAATAAATTTACTTGATACTTACTTCACTTCTCTAGCAAAGATTAAAACTTGTGATGATAAAATTAACACGACATTTAACACTTAAAGTTAAATACGGAAACACGAAAAAATATCAAAACAAAAAATATTATTAAAACAAATATATAGATTTAAATGTATTCAAAATAATTGTGATTGGCTTTTATCTAGAGAGCTCTTTCTGAAGATCTATGAAAGAAATCAACAACCTCATGTTGCAGTCAGAGTGTGCTTTTTTTTTCAAAATAAAAATTACGTTTTTTTTTAAAAAAGAAAACTAGTATCTCAAACAAAGCTCTTAATATTTATTAAAGCTTCAGGGGTGATTGTGAGTTCAATTCAAAATTCCGGAAAATCTCTTAAGTAAAATTATTGAAGACTCATAATGTCTTTATAAATTTAAATCATTGATATTTTCAAAACACTGAATCCGAAATAAATTATATACAGCATAATTTAAATGAATAATTATGTATAAGTCTATTTTTATCTCTAATCAGATTTATTATTCTACCAGAAAAAATATTTACAAATGAAAGATGCCAAGTATAAATTCTAGTTCGAATATTTTTAAATAAAATATACAAGAATTTTTATACATAAATGTGGTCGATGATTTCTTGAAACTTCTAGACCTAAGATTTCAGGAAACTTCCGGAGCGCAGTTAGGGAAAGATCCTGAAATCCGGATTTTTTCTGGAGCACAATCACCTCTGAAGCTTACTAATTTTTATGCATAAAATTAAATGCAAATTTAAACGAAAAACATATTTATTTAAAATAGCTCTATCATTCATGATTGGTAAATTTATTTTTATACATAATTCAATAAAGGTAATTTTTATTGACACTAAATTTTATTTATCAATCCGGTTTCCATGAAGCCGACCCAAGTAGCATTTACACATCAAGGAAATAGCACTTAGTAAAATTAAAATTCCTTGCAAAAAATCATGTACCTTCGATAACATTTTGAAGTCAATGGAGGTAACCCTTAAGAACTAACAACAACCATTATACTGTGGAACAGAGTGGTCGCTACCTAGAGGTTTCACTGTATTAATGTAAACAAGAGTAAAAACAGATCACGTCTTACAGAAATCAGTTAGTGAACATACATTATTGCATTAATAACGTATAGTAAAGCTAACTTCCATTTGTGCCATAATAAAGTTGTTGGGCATAATTGCAAACAAAAACATACTTGAAATTTATCAAAAATTATAACATAATGCTAGGAAACACCAAACATAACAATAAGATACAGCACAAATGTTTTTATTATTTTATCTTGAAAATCACAGCCCAGATAAATTAAATATTTTTCAAAAACCTATTAAAAAATTTGCTTCTCTACCTATATGAAAGACACTCTCTCAGTTTCCTTTCACCCTCTAGCTTTATTCTTTTTATAATTCCATATTGTTAATTTTTACTTTGTCTTGTATGTGTAATTTTATCTTTTAACTTTTTTTTTTTTTGCATCTTGAAGTAAATTTGATTCTGCAGTCCTATAGTTTATAAATGGTCTTGTTTACATTCGTTTTATTGTATTTATTTTGCAGTATAGAAATAATTTTTTTTTAAATAATCTCAATTTAACTATTTTATTTACTAAATTTAACTATTTTATTGCTCTTAGATATAAAACAATTAAACACATCTTTTTCACCATAATATGATGTTAATCCATGCCATTTAAATATCGGTATTTCAGGTAATCTAGGAAATAAGCTCCGTTTCTCTTTTTCACTTCGACATAGTAGCGTTACTTAGTTTAGGCAAGCACGCTTTTTCTAACGAAATATTGGGAAAAGCAAAAAAAGGCATTTTCAGATTGCAGCATTTGTTTTGCGAGAGTTTAAAAGAATGGAGCATCATCCTGCCATATGGACATATATGTGAAACCAAATACGATCTGTCATTTGATTTCTCAATGGTAGAAATACCAAAGCTTGGGAAATTAACATAAATTTTATTTGAAATGTATGAACCAAATGGGGCGAGCTATAGAAGAAATTATTTAGGTAAAAAACAAAAAAAGCTAAAATAGAAATCTAAAATGTTATGCGCAAAACAAATTTAAAATAATTGAAAAAATACTGGAAATTTGAGCAAGGAAAAAGTATATGCAGGAATCATATAACCACAGAATACCATTGACATTTTAATAAAAAATATCGTCATGTGATTATTAAATCACATGAATACACATCTCAATGTAAGTTTCGAAAATTATGTAAATGTGAATCGCAATGTGTTAAGTTGGTGAATGAGGATTTTAAAGTTACATTTAAAACTGTGTGAATATGAATTGCAATGTGTGATTTAAAATTGCATGTATGTAATTTTAAGTTGCATTTACATAAGTAGCAAAAAAGGGTTTAAGAATAACCCTTTTCTCAAGAATTCAAAACGCGGAACTCTCTTTGACAAAAGCGGAATTGTAAAACAACCATCTCAGTAGAACGGAACATTGCTTCATTTTTGAAAATTAACAATCACATACTGTTTAAGACAAAGAAGCGGAATTCCGCCAAAAAGCAGAAAATACTTATCAGTATAGAAGAGAAGTTTGCTCATTAATAAAAATTCGTAACGCATGGTATGCAACAATGCCTTAAGCAGTTGCTATTGTTTCGTCCATCCCTTATTGCCCCTACCTCCCACCCACTGATCTTCATCGATCCAGGAACTTTCTTGTTTGCAAGCAGTTTTGAGCAGATAATGAGATCACATAAATTGTTAAACAAATATTGCTATTACAGACGACACCATTTTTAGTAGCACCCAGAACAATTGTACCCCGCTACAATAAATGCCCAAACTAAGATGGTACCTTGTCAAGCAATAATCTGACCATTGTCATTCATTATTTAATGAAGATAAGTGTCATAAAATGGAGAAAACAGCAGAAACACTTTTGTCTCATAAAATTGAACTCGCTTTCTGGATTATAAGATACAAACTTTACATTCAACATACAATTTGTCTATACAAAAAGAAATTTGTATTTCAATGATGGAAAAAAATTCTACTTACCAATGGCCCTTTGTCTTTTTCCCTCATTTGAGCTATTTCACTGTACAGTTTTGGAGCACTTACTGGAGTAACATAATTTGTATAACTACAGGGTATACTAATTCCATCATCTATAACATAAAATTTTTTAATTATTTCACTGCACATCAGTGAAGCAAAAGAAAATTTATCCTAATTTATACTATGCTCTAGTAAATAAATATATAATTTGTCTTCAAATTGAGCATAAGTGTACATTACAAACATTACCAACATATTGTAATTTACTTTACCTAGGAATTGTATACAATGACAAATGCTCTCTAGGTAAAGTATGAAAATGAGAATGATAGAGTAAGAAGTAACAAATTCTTTCTTTTTTTTAAAAAGAAACATTTTTGAAGGTGACACCTAGATAAGAATAAAATTTTCCTTATTCTACTTTTTATGAAACACAAATACTACTTTAACTGGCTTAATTGATTATTCCAAATGATATCTTGTTAGGAAAAACAGAGTTGCAAGTAATAGTTCAAACATATCTATCTGGTTATTTTTGTGGTCAATCTAGTTATTATAAATAATACATTGCGATTCCTAAAAATTTATGCCTTTTTTATGAAAGAATAATATTGACAAAAATAAATATTGAGAGCCTTTATAATCAGTTTTATTTATTCAGTGAATAAACATAGCCTATTTATAACATAAAACTATTTATAAAATTAAAATGAAACAAAATCCATAAAATAAGTCTTATGCAAAATTACCACGAGCTTTTACTTTTTTCAGTATAAAATAGCAGAAGTAAACATAAAGATTTTCTATTTATTACTAACATCTTTTAATTTTGCCAGTTCCTCACAGTTGTGATGAAATCAATCAGGTAAGTGCTGTTACTCAGAACCTTGACTTTTACTTTTTACTTTTTTCAGTATAAAATAGCAGAAGTAAACATAAAGATTTTCTATTTATTACTAACATCTTTTAATTTTGCCAGTTCCTCACAGTCGTGATGAAATCAATCAGATAAGTGCTGTTACTCAGAACCTTGATGAAAATCAGTCAAAGGTATTGACAAGCACTATCAGGTTGCTTTGTTTACTTTCGCCATCACTTCTCGCTGAACAGAGTATAGTTATTCAATTTTAACTTTGTATTTATATTATAAATCATTTTCAATTTCTGAAACTTTCACAGTATTATTTGAATAAAACTTCTACAAAATCTAACCATAGGCAAAAGAGTTTTGGACACTTTAAGACAGCTTTGGGCGAAGAACCTTACTTCGCATTTCATTATTATATCTAAAACCTTGAGCGTGCTGTCATATTTATAAGAGCGCTTTATATCTTTCTTTTTAATTTATAAACAGTTCGGTAAAAGTGATTTTTAAATACCAAAATAAAATCTATTCTAACTGAAGAGATTTTTTTTTTTTTACCTTTCAAAAATTTCTGTGCTCCATCCAAGCATTCAGGTGACAATTCATTATCACCAAATGATCCCAACAGCTCTGAAACTATAATATCAGCCTTTTCTGATGGCTTAAAATCTCTCATATCACAGGGGACTACAGTTACTTGCTCACCCCACATTTCATACTGCTGTGCAAACAACCTGGAAAGAAGACAAAAGAGTTGAAAAACAATAAAAACATACAGGAAATTCTAGTTTTGTAATTTATAAATGTTAACTCACATGTAAAGATTTCTAAAAAGCTCGGATTTATTTAAGTAGAAATAAATTAACGAGTTTAAATTATTTGTAAGTAAAATTGAATAATTTAAAACTACAGGAAAACTCAATTAAATGTCATACATACATCAAGAAACATAGATTAACCCCTTGGGGACGGGAGATTCATAAAAGCATTCGTACAAAATCAGAATCACAAAATAAATAAAAAACAGTAGCTTAAATGTAGGCGTTGCTAATTTGACAGATTTACTTTGCTTTGACTTTAATTATTGTTAGTTTAATCATATATATGCAAGCAATGTTAGTTCAAAGTAAAACTAAACAATTTTACTTTGAACTAAGTAATAGTGAATTATATAAATCAAACAATTATAATCCTGCTTACAAATAAACTGTTAAAAAATTACTTTGATTCCCAGTTTTATCTTTTTACCCAGGTTGATATGGTTATATGTTGGCACGTATTTGTGACAGTCGGCGCGAAAGGGTTAATTAAATTAAAATTTTTACTTACGTAACTATTGCATTTGGATTTTTTTCAACTGCGTAGACTTTAACTAATCTATCAGCATTTTTAGCAGCAGCAATTGCTGCTCGCACTAAGGGTCCTCTTCCAGCTCCAACAACCATTATGACACTGCAAAAGTTTGAATAAATTAAATAATTTACACAATAACCTAAAAACTAATGAGTCTCTAAAAGAGGAATAAAGTTGCACAAATGTAATTAAAATGAACAGAAGAAGAACATATGAATAACTTACGATGTTTTAGTTTCTTTTTCTTCTTCTGACACCCTATCAAGAAGAGCATTATATATAGCCTGAAAATAAAGGAAAGGAGAATAAATTCTATAAATTTAATAGGGCATATCAATTACAAATAAAAATCTTTTCAACAGATCTAATTAGAGTAGTGATGACTTAGGGGATAGATCGTCTTCCAATGAACAGTTCGAATATCAGCAATGGCTGGTCCATACGAATTCCGCATCCGGCTTGCACCGACCGCAGTGCTCAGGTAAAATATCCTCAGTGGTAGACGGATCACGGGTTAGAGTCCTCTTGCTGAAAGGCTAACCGTGGGAAGTTTGTGTGGTTTTCCTCTTAATGTAACCCAAATGCGGGTGAGTTCCATCAAAATGTCCTCCAAGAAGGGAAATTTCTCCCAATACTTGATCCAGGAGTTCCTTGCCTTCTGTCTTGGGTTAAAAATTACAAGGATACAGAGTTGAACATTAGTAGTCGTAAACCCGAAAAATTGGGTCGGTCGTTCAAAGATGGTTATAATGTATTAAAAAAAAATAGATCTAATTATAGCTAAATAAAAAAATTTAAAAGTTTATGAACATGTTTCTTTAACCTATTAGCCTTTCGAACAAATGCACCTTAAAAGCCTAATTTTGTTTGAATCTTCAAAAACTAATCTTGACCTATATGACATTTACTGCTTAGTAATAATTTAAGATTAAATATTGCTACGCATATTATTTCAACAATATATTTATTATTATTTAATTATTGATTATATGAAATAAACAGTACTCATTTTTTTAATACATAAACTATCCAAATCTTTAAAAATGTCAATAAAACCTTAAAAGTTGTACTTTTGCTTTCTTAATAATCTTTTTAGATATCTACTACTCAGGCTTGCATTAAAAAATTTGCTACTTGCATAAATTTCATGCTTAATATATACTTTTTACACAGATAACATTTTTTCATAAATTGTAAAATTCAGTACTGACACACCTCTATTTCTTTCTTTCAAAAAAGTTTGCCCACCCATGCCCCAAAACAATATTGTTTTGAAAATAGTGTTGTCGTCGTCGGCCATTAAGGCAGAAGGGACGCAATTATTCTTGTTTTCCAGCAGCGCCATCTATGTCCAAGAATTCAACTTCTGCCACACCTATACATCTCACTCGTTTATACGACGGACCCATTTATACACCCAATTCATTCATCCACAAATTATAATTTTTTGAGCTGAACGAGAGAACAATTAATTTCCAATTCAGTACCCCAGAGGTATCGATTTGTTATGGAAACATAGAGGACATTATGACCCGACAAATTTAAACATGCACCAGTCACCAAATAGTGTTGTTCATTATATAATTAGAAAACTTTACGTAAAATAGTTTAAGTTTCAAAGATAAATTATATTAGGTGATTAAAACTTAGAATTTCATATACCATATTAATCCCTTTATGCCTAAGTGATATAATACTTTGTATGGCAGTAGCTTTTGGAAAATCGAAACTTTTTGATTTATTCAAAGAAAATCACAAAACAATGCATAATCAAAACAGGGTTCCCACTCAATTTCGGAAAAAAATTGCTGGACTTTTCCAGGGATGCCAAGTAAATTTTAATTAAACTCCAGACCATATTTTATCTATTCTATGCATTTTTTCATGAGAGAACTTTGATTATTTTATTTGTAATGCCAAATATTAGATTTTATGAGCAAAAAAAATATAATTGAATGAAAATGGGAACATTGACCATAATGTGAAATTTTTATAACAAATAATTGTAATAGATATTAGAAGTATCTATCACTTATCCCTATAGCAATACAGCAATAATGTCATACTTACTTTTTGATATTCAGTATACTTGGTTGGATCCTTTTCAAATATCTCATAAGTGCAGGATTCTAAATTATCCATTAATGGCTGTGAGAAATAACAAGAATATTAGTTATTTATGAATTATTGAAATGTTCAGTTATGTATGAAATAAAAAGAAAATATTTACTTGCAAAGGGATCTGTAAATAATCTTCATAACCTTTCGCAAAATTAGACAGTGCATCCACAGGCTCTTGATTCTGTTTGAAATAAAACAAAGTTTAAAAAGGAAAAAAAATAATATACAGAGATTTAAGTTTGAAATTTGCAAAAAAAAAATATTGAAAACAACTTACTGTCCATAAATGATCCAGATATGACTGATAAAATCTCATATCTCCATGCTTGCAGCTACCAGAAATTACAACTTGGACATCCAGCTATAATATAATATTGTATTATTACCTATATGTGCAACTTTATTCATAAAGAATTTGAAACAATTATACTTTATAATTTTGGTAATGATGATTTTTTTTTAGTATAAAATACATGAGATAAATATAAAAATTCAAATAATTAAAATAAATTTGCTTGTTTGAAAATTAAATAAGTCTGATATTCAAAAGGTTTCTAAATAGTCTGATATTCAATAAATATGCTTTGATAACACACTTTACAGATATGATAAAACAATGAATATTTCTAATTATTGAGACAAGAATAAAATATTTATAACATACATTAAAAGGAACTAGTATTTTGTTTAAACCAAGTTAGGCTTAGAAAACCAAAATGGGTATCTTTTTAAAATATGCCATTAACAATAATTATTATTTATGAAATATAAACTGATCTATAAAAATAAAATAACGAAAAATATAACCCCGATTGACAGACACCTTCGGGACTAGGAATAGGTCAGAAAAAAGGTACTGTTTGAAGATGGGGAAAACTTTTCAAGTCTATGTTTCAGTGTATAAACCCTTTGCTTATAGTTCACTATCAGCAAAGCTACTTAAAATAAGAAGTAGCTATATAAAAAGGCTTTAAAGAAAACATTTGTGTATTTTTTTTCTATCCTAAATAGTGATAAAAAGTCATTAATTTGTTTTCTATTCAATTGTTCATTTTTAGTAACAATATTTCAATTTCATCAACACAACAGTAATTTGATAACACCAACTGTAATAATGATGAAATGTTTGTTGGAAACCTTATAACCTGTGTTGAAAGGGGTGTCTATAAATGAAGTGTTGTATTATTGGCATCAGATAATCAGGGGTAGTAAAAAAAAGGAGAAATAGTGACAGCTAATAAAAATACTAATACCGCTAATAACATAAATAATTAGCAACATAATATATAAAATATACATTTAATAAAATATATTTATTTAAACAGGAACAGAAGAGATGTCTTTATTTCATTTTTTTTATAAACATTTAAACTGAGTCATGAATATAATAAAAGATAATGTTTTAATGAAAAGCTTAGTTGGGAATTTTTTAAGAAAACCTATATAAGAAAAATTATTTGAATAAAAATTAAAGATAAAAATGTCAGAACAGCCTATTAAAAAAAAGTATTTTCAGAGGATTTATTTAAACAGGGTTGCCACTCAAATCTGGAGAAAAAGTTCCCTGTACATATTATACACAATATGTTAAGAAGAAACAACAATTACTGCACTCTTGTGTGAGCTATATTGGGCTAACTATATTTATTAGTTTTAATTGCTGGAAAAACAGCTGAACATACTGAAATAATGCTATAGTAAATGAAATAGTTTAGTATTACTGAAATATCATGGTTAAATATCCCATAGATTAGGCTTTGAGTGGTCACCATTTTTTAAAAGACAAAGGTAAAAACAAAATTCCCTGTATTTTCCCAGTTTGTAAAGAAAAAATCAAAATTCCCTGCATTTTCCCTGTTATTTTAGGTGATTTTTAAATTCCCTGTATTTTCCAGGTTTTCCCTGTTCTCCCTGAGGAGTGGCAACCCTGTTAAATTATATAAAATTAGATTACTCTAACAGAAAAATTTTACATGCGAATAAATAAAAGATTAGGAAAATGCTAATCCTAAATAGCTTTAAGGAATGCAAATAAAAACTAGGCATGCCAAAACAAACTAAATAAATTTACTTACTTTAAAAAACTTTTTCAAAAGATTTTGGTGAGGACGAGGAAGAACTGGGTAATTCTTTTTGTTTAGTGTGAAACACGAAGTCTTAATGAAAATACATCGCACAGGCTCACCAAGCCATCTCTCAATCTCACAGTAAGTTGGCAAATTCTCACTCAATTCCAAAACTAAGCCTATCTTTTTATCAGTGCCACATACACTTCTAAAAGTGTTCCACCTATAATTTTTAAATGCACATAATATAAAATCAGATTAAGAAAACTTTCTATTATAATACATGGTAAACTTTCAGAAAAAAACAGAGCATCAGAATCATTGTAATACGGAGAAATCTTCTTATTGTAAAGCCTAGTGAAAATTCAGAAGAAATCAAAGTATCAGAATTATTACAATAAGAAGAAACCCTCTAATTGTAATGCGTGGTAAAAAATTTATAAGAAATCAGCGCACACACCACCGAAGCATGACGAAGCACCTAGTCCCATTTTACAGGCTCTATCTTTTAGCAATTATGGTAGGAAAGCCACGTAATTTTGACCAGGTCAAACGATGAAGACAGTCCCTGAGTTGGTATTCCTATCTCCAAATTTCCACACCACAGTAAAGCATTGGACTTTCAGCCTTGACAGATTTGATGAGCGTCTTACAGTGCTCATCAAAGTGCATACACAGGGTTTGTTTAGTCAGAAGAAATCAGAGCCTGATATTAATCATCATGGCCAGACAATAGATCCAATATTAAAACAATAGAAATTTTATTCACAAAATTCTAAACATTTATTCATAGTATTAAAACATATATTAGAGAATTTAACTAAATATTACCACTCCCAAGTATCTGTAGTAGATTCGTTACTATCTTCTAAATCCTTAAGTTTACTATCACCATCACCATTAGTTACATTATTGAAGAATACTTTTGATTCATCAGCAGCAGATCTCATAGGTACATACACCCATACGTTATAGTTAGGCTATAGAAAGGGAAAATAGCTTCAACAGTTAACATAATATATGACTTAAAGACAAATTTCAACAAAAGCTGAATGGTAAAATTAAAATTAAATTATAGATCAATAAAATAATAAGTATAACAAATAAAAATTATTAATCAATGTTATAAGTTTAGTGAGCATAAAACATTTTTCTCACAAAATAGGTTTTCAGTTTATATATTATATATTAAATAATTTTTAAAAAAAAAATAAGATACGGTCAAAATTATGAAAATTGGCTCAAACAATAAAATAATTCATCTTTTGTGCCTTTATTTTAAAATCAATAAAACAAATTCTATAATTAAAAAATCGTTAAAAAACTACTGCGTAAAGGAAGAAAGAAATTACGAGTGCACTTAATTTAAAAAGAAAACATATTTCTGATATGCCAAAATCTTTCGGCCCCAAATCTTACACTTCAATCATTTATTATGAAACATATTTATCAGTGATGAATAAGTTTACAAACGATTAAAAATAATAAAATATTTAAATAGTTTTTTTTTAGATGATATAGGAAATGCTGAAGTAAACAAGATGGAAAAATATCTTACAAAAAAAATTATATTATTGAAGATTAATCTTTTTTTCTACGGCCGAACTCTGAAATTTCATACATCAGCTAACCGGCAGATTGATGTCAATTTATATACTCCCATGATTTCTTTTTCTTAGGCACGTTTTTTTAATGCAGAAAGGGTATCTTTTTAAAATATNGTTACATTATTGAAGAATACTTTTGATTCATCAGCAGCAGATCTCATAGGTACATACACCCATACGTTATAGTTAGGCTATAGAAAGGGAAAATAGCTTCAACAGTTAACATAATATATGACTTAAAGACAAATTTCAACAAAAGCTGAATGGTAAAATTAAAATTAAATTATAGATCAATAAAATAATAAGTATAACAAATAAAAATTATTAATCAATGTTATAAGTTTAGTGAGCATAAAACATTTTTCTCACAAAATAGGTTTTCAGTTTATATATTATCTATTAAATAATTTTTTTTTATAAAAAAATGAGATCTGGTCAAAATTATGAAAATTGGCTCAAACAATAAAATAATTCATGTTTTGTACCTTAATTTTAAAATCAATAAAACAAATTCTATAATTAAAAAATCGTTAAAAAACTACTTCGTAAAAGAACTCATTGGAAAAAGGAAGAAAGAAACTACGAGTGCACTTAATTTAAAAAGAAAACATATTTCTGATATGCCAAAATCTTTCGTCCCCAAATCTTAACAAATGATTAAAAATAATAAAATATTTAAATAGTTCTTTTTTAGATGATATAGGAAATGCTGAAGTAAACAAGATGGAAAAAAAAATTATAGAAAAAATAATATTATTGAAGATTAATCTTTTTTTCTCCGGTCAAACTCTGAAATTTCGTACATCAGCTAAACGGCAGATTGATGTCAATTTATATACTCCCATGATTTCTTTTTCTTAGGCACGTTTATTTAATGCAGAAACGTAGTTTATTTTATTTTTTATTTCTTATATACTGTATACTTTCGTAAGCAAAACTGGCAGAAATTTTTAATCAGAGTTGAAAATAAATAAAAAAGAATTTCAACTAAAAGTATCTGCAGAAATTGGATCAATCCTCGTAATAAAAAGATTTTATTTTCTAGTTTTGCAACAATTTGAAAATAAAATATTTATGAAGAAAATATAAATGAGGATAAGAGAGTAAAAAATACAGCATGCTAGTTTATTCTTAAATTACAAATCAGAATTGGTAACCCTATTTGTAGTCATACAGTTTTTTGTCAATTGTAGACTTCTTTCAGAACCCCATATTTTAATTTAAAAAATAAGAAAAGAAAAAATTATTTCAGAGCTAACATTACTAAATAGGTTTGTCAATTCGGAAAAGTTTCTGTTGAAATCTGTTTTTGAATAAATCCACCGAGATCACAAAATTATCAGGTGTGGCTTGTGGGAAATCAATTCTTTGCATCGTGATAATCGAACTTTTAAGCACAGATTGGCCGCTGGCCTATCAGCTGGAAATTACTGTACTACAACTAAGGTGGAATTAAATGCATTAAGATGGAAATTTAAAGAAAAATATCAGACTAACATACGTGCCAACATTTATAATTCTTACCAGGGACGGCAATTTCTTCAACAGTGGAAAAAACCACCCTGGAAGAACACAAGTCCAACACAAGTAGAAGAAATGGAAGATTCTCTTGCTCAAAATATCAAATATTTACACAGTTTTATAAACAGTTCATATTTGCAATGTACTTTAAATAATAGTATTTTCAGGTAATTTAATATATCATTTTGAAATATGTAAAAATAAAAACTAACAAATAGAAAAATTTTGATATGAATTTCGTAAAAAATTAAAATAGGGATTTGGGCTATTCTGCTAATATTTATTGCTACACAAATATACTGGTGTATATATATAGGATAATATTTATTCACTTTGCCCAATTTTTTCACAGTTTCTTCCACTACCCTGGAACAAGTAGGTATCTTCCTTATGAAATGAAAACCCTGACTTTTGGAGAACTCTATTTTTTATAGTAGTCAATTTTATGCTTTAATAAATTATTCTGGGATTTGAATTACTCGATTTAAAACAATTTCAACCATCTTAACATAAATAATTTAAAAAGCATAAATAAGAACCCAGAAATACATGCTTCATATGCGTAAAAGCATGACTTTGCTCTTTTAACTACCACTATAAAAAATCTAAAGCAAAAATCCGAAAAGTTGGCAGCCATGGCTTAACAATAAAATCTGACAAGATTCCACGAGGAATAGATGAAACCATTTATTAAATAACTTATAATGAAAGAATCTTAGCACCTATCTACTAGACATTTAAAAATTAGGGGACATTACTACAACAATACCATACCAATTATTTTATAACTAATATACAGAATAAACTATAGAAAAAATTGTTGTTAACAATTTAAAAGTTGAATTTTCAGTAATTATATAGTAGATCTTCCTCTTCTTCTCATTGGCACGAAAGCCCAGGATGGGCCTTGGCCTTCTCAACAAGCCTATGCCAAGACATTCTTCCCTTAGCCAAGGTTCTCCAGTTAATTATATATAGTAGATCTATATAAGGCAATTCTATAAACCACAATTATCCATAAACAATATTAATTTCACAATCACTAATGCAAAACAAAATTGAGAAATTTGTTGGATTTTATTTCTAATGCTCCTGATAACTTCATTATATGTTTGCTTTTATAAAGACCCTTAATATAAAATTACATTTTAATACAATAATGTAATAATTAAAGACCTATAATATAATAATTAAAGACCTGTGATATAAAATTACCTGATGACCAGAGGATCCTAAAACTTTGGTATAAATGTGTCGAGCCAAATTAATACAGTTGGAGCTGCTAGGTGTCACCAAAACAGCTGGTAGACTCAAATGAGCTGCATAATTCAGTTCTTGATCTAGAGCCTGTAATATATTCAACTATTGTGAGAAGTAGAGGATAATTTTACAGGTAATTCAGATAATTTTTTGTATATAAATAATAAAGAAAACCTTACAAATATTTAAAAATTTTAAAGAAGAGTGAGATATTTTTAACAAATGCAATTATTTCTCCGAATTGAGTACAAGCAGAATTGCAAAAACATGCTGGACATGGGCAGAAACTAAGAAAATTTAGCCACTGGTCAAAAGAACTAATAACTAAAAGATATTATAAGGCAGTACACATTTCCATTTGCCTGCTTACCAGAGGCATATCTAGGAGAAACAGCACCTGTGGCAAACCTTGAATTGGTGCCCTTTAATATATATAGTTTGTTCAGCAGGAGTTGGCACTTGGCTCCACCTCCTCGGACCTCGGACGCTGAGTTCATTTGAACGCAGTAGTAAGAGGAAAAACATCTCCACGCTTGAAATTGAGACAACCCATAGAGTGCAAGTAATTGAAATTAACATTAGGTGGATATGTAACGCTAAGTATAAAAATATTTTTTTTTTTTGACATAGCAAAGTTTTCGAGATATCAAGAGTATACTGGATGTATAGATATATAAAAATGCAAATCAAAAGCATTATTTGAAGTATGTAGTCATCCAGGGTTGCCACTCAAATCTGGAAAAAAAATTCCCTGTGTTTTCCCTGTACATGTTATACGCAATATATTAAGAGGAAACAACAATTACTGTGCTCTCGTGTGAGCTATATTGGGCTAACAATATTTATTAGTTTCAATTGCTGGAAAAACAGCTGAACATACTTAAATAATGCTATGGTAAATGAAATAGTTTATTATAGCTGAAATATCATGGTTAAACATCCTATAGATTACGCTTTGAGTGGTCACCATTTTTTAAAAGACCAAAATAAAAATAAAAATTCCCTGTATTTTCCCAGTTTGTAAAGAAAAAATCAAAATTCCCTGCATTTTCCCTGTTATTTTAGGTGATTTTTAAATTCCCTGTATTTTCCAGGTTTTCCCTATTCTCCCTGTGGAGTGGCAACCCTGTCATCTTGACCCCTGCGGCAAAATTTTTTCGAGCTATCTGTGACAAAATTCTTGAACACTAATATCTTTCAGCAAGATACTTTTAATAATAACATACATATATCTTAATAATTTAAAATAACAAAAGCGCTATGTTTAAAATATATATATAAGTATATAAAAAAATTATATATATATCTATATATATAAGTATATATATATATAGATATATATATATAATTTTTTTAATTGAACATATAAATATTTATTTTAATATTATGGGTGATATTATTACATTTTGTAAGGGGGGGGGCAAGCACAAATTATTTCCTTTGTCAAATTTTGTAAATAATTATCAATATTACAATAAAAAAACATTTTAAATCATAAAATCTGGAGTAGAAATTGCCAGAAAAAAAATTGAGTACGAAATCAGGCAAATCGGACTCCTCAAATGCGTTTTTTTTTTCTTTTCGAGATTAGGTTGTCGCAATAAATAATATCTGATGAAAATTATCGCATTTAAGAAATATGGAGAAATCAATAGTAGTAACTGCCAAAAATTCGATAAAAATATTAAAAGTAAATACTTAAATGCACGCTTCGAATTTTTCACATTGTTTGAAATGTATAAGGATAGAGGGATATTTAAAATCCACATGAAAATCAATATCAATAATTGCCGAAAATGCAATAGAATCATTGCATCGATTTACGATACTATTGGCGTAAATTGACTGTGTCAAAAAGAGATTATCTAAAGGCATTACTCAAATATTGTGTTTAAATTTCTGAAGAAAAGTAGTTTTTTTTTCACTTTTAAAAAAACTTTCTGCAAAAACTCTGTAACGTTCGGCGGCAATGTCGCTGAGATTCTGCCACAGTGATCTTGGCTATATAGTAAAAGATTGATCAGAGTGCATAGCCAAATTTTTCAACAAAAAATATGCATCTTTTATAGCACTTTTCAAGCACTTAAAAAATATTTTTAAGCACTCTGAAAAATATCATTATTAGACAGGGTTGGGTAGTTTTTGACAATTGATGGTCTTATCCAGCTTTATTTATAGTGGCAAAGACGATGGCGCGCCACAAACAATGAAATTAGCAAGAGAAATGAAATTTTCTATCGCTAATAGAGAAAAAAAATTGACAATGTTTAGTTGGTCCCTGCAATCAGCAAAAATTTGAGAGATTTTTCGATTCTATTACAGAGAACGGAAATTGAAGTCTGAAATTGAGAATATCTTGCAAAATGCAGCAGAGTTGTACATGAGAGACAAAAATCCTTACCACTGAATCCAGCTCAGTATACGCAAGTATTTCATGAAACATGAAAAACAAATGGTGTTTTCATACACTACAGACCGACAGTACGCCAAAATAAATTGGGGCTGAATTAATTGTGAAATTGTTGAATAGAACAATGTCTTTTTGCAAAATTTGTGGCGAAAATCAACATGGTAAAGGAAAATATCGCATTTTAGAAAAGGGGAAACTAAGCACTTCTTAAAAACACCCTTGGAAAAAAACACCTTTAAGCACTTTTTAGAAACGCTACGCACTCTGTTGATACATCAGACGTAAAGATGTATCAGACGTCAAAATGTACTTTCTCTGAATAAACATATCTATGGATTAGCAATCATCTGGAAAATATAGTCCCAATAGTTTAAACAGGAATTGCCTAGTATACCCTACAATGGTGTTTTTTTAAAGGTTTTGTACCATTGCTTGGTGTACCTTTCACTCTTGCTTGGAATTAACTGTAATACAAGTTAAATTCATATTCCAAAGGATTACAATATTTGATTCTGTTTTCAGTGTCTGGTGCATGAATCAGAGAAAACAGTTGCCTGTGGGATAACATTTGATATAGATCTACAATTATACATGAAATGAATGTTATGTGCTAAAAACGACTGTGATATAAGTGAATCTTGACATTAACAGGGTTGAAATATATGATTTTGTTTTCAGCATGAGACAAAAATGGTGCCAGGAAAGGAAATATGAGAAGAGTTGTAGGCGAGAAAAAAACAAAAAACATTGGTGCAGATGCAAAACAAAAAGGTTTCACAATCTTTTACACTGCTTTATTCTTACACAATTTCAAATTATGTGCAGATTTAATTGAGATATAATAATAAATTTTCTTAATTTTTATCTTATATTTAAAAAAATATATATCTTCTTCTTAAAGAAAGTTTTGCAAAAAGCACAATCAGTTTGAGGATTTGCAATCCTGACTAAAAGTACTAGATACAGATACATAACATAGTAAATACAAAACATTAGTTACTTTTTCTGAGTTTCTTCGAATACTATATACAGACGAATCTAAATCAATCCAAGAGGAAATTCTTCCAACAACTAATGTGCTCCAATCTACATATAAGGAAGAAGAAAAATAATAAATGGTGCTATTTTATAAAATTTACACAAAATATTAAAGACAATTAAAAAATAAGAGTAAATAAAAAATTTAAAAAAACATTAGACAAAATCATCAATCTTTAAAATTTAAAAAGTTTCCTTTATCATTATAATGAAATTAATTATTTTGAAAACATTAAAAATTATAATAATAAAGTTCATAGCCATATCTTGAGAGCTCAGAACAAGATCAAAGCAGATAAAAGTCCTGAATTACATTCAAAAGTATAATAATAAGTTCATAGCTATTAAAAAATAATGATGCCAATAATGATGATTAAAAAATATTGATGATCTTATATCTTAATGCCCAGATGAGATGCCCAACTCCTGATAAAATTTGATAAACTTTTTTGCTACTTTTAAACAATCATTTGGTTTAATTATGAAGTATAAAGAATGTAAAATTTATAGGGTATGAAAAATTCAAGATCTGCTACTTCTGTTCGGCATTTTTTTTTCCCCTTTTTTTTTTGAGGCTTGAGATTAACATGTTTACTTTAAGATTTTGATTTTCTCGTTTTTAAATTTGTTTTAGTTATTTTGGGATTACCGTCTGTACTATACTAGATGTTGGATGACATTTCTTGATGGGTAGATCTGAGCGAAATGCAGTTATAGTAAGTGTGGCAAACTTAGACGGAGTCCCTAAGTATATTTTAGTTCTTGTCTGTACAAGTATGTTCTAAGAATTATAGAATAATTCTTTTCCTTTAAATTTAATATCACATTTTGCTTATAATTTATACATAATTATGTAATTTCAGGGTGCACAACCAAATCTTTCAACAAAAAATAAGCACTATATACATGAACAAAATAATCTTCTAAGACTTATCATGATCATGATAAAATAACTAGTTTCTGACAAAGAACTCTTTTCTTGATTATATTAGCCATTATAAAATGATCAAGAGTTTTTTGGTTCGATATCAGAGGGTGGAAAATGAAGCCTGAAATTGAGAATATATTGTAAAATGCAACAGATTTGCACAATGTGCAATAATCTCACTGGACCCAGCTCAGTAGACGCACATACGGAATCGCAAATATTTCATCAAACATGCAAAATGAATGGCAATATCTTAAGTTACGGATCGACAGTACGCCGAAATGGATTGTGCTTGTCTGAGTTATATAAAAGTTGAATAGAACAATGTGAAAACTACGCTTTTGCATAATATACAGCGAAAATCGACATAGTAAAGAAAAAAAATCTCATTTTCGAAAAGGGAAAATTAAGCACTTTTTAAAACCACCGAACGAAAAAAGCACCTTTAAGGGCTTTAAAAATAAATTGAAAATAAGCACCTTGAAGCACTTTTTAAAAATGCTACGCACCATGAATTTTCCTTCGTCTATGAACATTTTTAAAGATTAGCATCCTCATACTAAGGACAGAATGAATTATCTGATGTATATTTTGGCATATTTGAGGTGTAAGTAATCCTATGTATCTTAGGCGGGCTCAGACCTCCAAAAGTGAGAAGAAAGTCATTTCTAATAGCTATACCTTGAAAGCTCAGTGCAAATAATAGCCTTAAATTATTTTAACAGCATTCAAAATTATAATTAATAAGTTCATAGCTCTAAGCGAGTAAAATCCCTGAATTATTTTAAAAGTATTCTAAATTATAATAAGTTCAAAGTTATACCCTGAGAGCTCAGAGAGAAAGAAAGCCCTGAATTATTTTAAAAACATTCAAAATTATAACAAGTTCAAAGTTACACATTGAGAGCTCAGAGAGAAAGAAAGCCCTGAATTATTTTAAAAGCATTCAAAATTATGATGATAAGTTCATAGCTGTACCTTGAGAGCTCAGAACAAGATCAGAGCGAGTAAAAGCACCTGAGCGATTTCTTGCTTTACCATCCAAAAATTCTCTCCTGAATCGAGGATGTACTATTGGAGCTACTATAAAGCCATACCTGAATGAGAAAATTATTATTCAATTTATAAGTTAAACACAATAGCTTAGGGTACAGCAAAAAAATTTAAGCTAAGCAAAAAGTAATTGAAAGTAAACTGTTTCACTTTAAAATATTTTAAAGATCAATTTTGTATACTAACTATAGTTTTAATTTTTAATAATTTTAAGCAAACTCAAATTAAACAAGCGAATTGCCATCACATATTTATTATATACAGGTTTAAATGTGTTGTTTTAATCTAAACATAGTGAGGAGGGAAAGTTAGAAAATTCCACAAAATAGAAATTTTAATGTTCATATTTACTTAAGACAAAGAAAAGTTTACTTTAATCAAATAACTCCAAATCATTTAATTATTACAATAAAACATCCATTTTATAAAGTTCTATATCAGTGGTTACCAACTGGCGGCCTGCATCAGGCCCTAAAAGCTTTTTTTTATAGCCCGCAAACTAAAATATATTAGTTGTCATTTTTTGAGGAAAATTTTCGTAAAAAATCTATATGGGTTTAAAATACTTTTTTTTGTTTAAAAAAACCCTAATTTCTTCGATTCTGTGAAATTTAACATACCAACGGTGCAAAACAATTTATTTCTTAGGTTTTGCATCCAAGAAAATATTTATTAAAATACAAAATTAATCTTGTGTGTTGCTTAAAAATCTACTTCTTATTTTATTTTGTAATTCAATATGTTTGTTTTGTACAACTTGATAAAAATATATTATAACAGTAATATTTAATGTTCCTTCAAACATAAAAAGAGTCCGTGTAAAATTCAGATAAAGTTGCGGCTCACCATTTGACTGGTGTTTAAATTGCGGCCCCTGGCCTCATGTAAGTTGGAAACCCCTGTTCTATATTATATGACTCATTACTGTTTAATAATGAAAAACTTATCAACAAAAGGTACAGATTTAACATAACTTTTAACTACAAGCTTTGTTTTCCCATGTCATAAAACCTGTTTTTCTCCATGTTTTTCACTAGGAAAGCAGTTAAGGACATGGATTGCTCAGTGCAATATTGTCCAAGGACTCAACTTTTGGAGGGACAAGAAACATACAAAGAAAGAATACTTAAGTTTTCTAAGATAGATAAGAAATGCTTCTTCACTTGTAAAAAGTCTATGATGATTGAAAAAACAAAAATATATTAGAAATTATTAACAACTTTGGTATATTAACACATAGGTATCTGTTAGCAGCAAGTAACTTTGCAAAAATGCAAAAGAGTTTTAGAACTGGCAAAAAAGAAATTCTAGAAATATGGAGTGCTTTGCCTGGGAGTAGCTACTCGCTACATTCTTCGAACTGGTTTATATCTGCGATGATTTTTCTAGCTTTTGGTATGTTATTGCCAAAATAGATGCAGGTACCAATACAAAATATTTACACTACTTTTAATAGAGAATTATAAAGTTACAAGCAAAAATTACTTTCTGAATAAAACCACACTTCATAATATATAAAAAAATTGAAGTCATTATTTAATTTTTAACATGAGAAATTGAAAATTCAAACAACAAAATAAAAAGTTAAAATATTTCCTACTACCTATCTTCCTTACATTATCTAAGCTGGTTAAAGATTAAATTTAATTTTGGGTGTTATTTCCCTATCAATAAATATTTATACCAAGGGTATTTGTAATTGCAAAAAGAAAGCGGGAACAGGTAACGACAAGGAAACAACCCTACTATTTATTTGATATCACCTTTAAAAATTATGGACCATTTCCCTATCATGATATAAGCCAAAATAATTGTCAAGTCATGGCGACTTCCTGGCTTATGGCTCGAAAGAAACTTAAAAAAACATCACAGAAAAGGTCTAATTCATATTGTATAACTTGTAGAACTTCTCAGCAGATATATTCATGTTATTTTTTAAAAATTAAAAAATTTAAAATCCTATCATTGCTTTGGTGATTAAAGTTGGTATGGCAGATCATGATATAGAAACATTGCCGGTATTTATTATTTTTTTTAGTTTCTCACGGGTGATGATTATTTTCATATATAAACCAATATGGAAATGATAATCACCAATCTGTGGCAAAAAGATCACCAAGTCTTGGCAAGAACTGGGCAGTGACTCGCTAGAATTTTAAAAAAAAATCCCAGAAGGGGACTAACTCGAAGCATAATATAAGTACTCCTGCGCAAACATCTACAGATTTTCATTAAAAAAAAAAGTTGCAAGTTTTCAATCCAGTTGGCATCTTAGCGATTGTAGTATGAGAGACAGATCACGATACAGATATATCCAAGGAACAAAGAGTATATAGAAGGGACTAGCGGCTTCATTTGGTATTAAATTTAAAAAAAAAAAAAACATGATTACTGATAATACGATTTCTTTATCTTTAAGATAAAAGAGTAAAAACGAGACAACGAAGAAAGTCATTTATAAGTTTATTGTCCATTCAGTGATAAAACTGAAAAATACATATATATGATCTTTTTTAGCAATGATAATAAACTTTAAAAACATTTATAAATTCTTACCCTGATGCAGATGCACTACTCAGTGCATCATATATGTCATTTATATTATGATAAGAAATACCACAAGAAACATGATCTTTAGCCGGCGGCATTTTAATATTTTAAACAGAAAAAGACACTGTTACAAAATAAAAACAACACACACGATTTTTTAACTTTTCGCATTAGAAGTAGAACTATTTAGATGGCTTATTTCAGTGCATCACTATTAATATGTTCAATAGATGAGCCCTAATTTTAAGTCTCAAAAAAATAACAAGGATCACAAAAATAACAAAATATAGCAGGGACCATTCTTACTGCATATGATTTACGCAACTCCGACAGCCATCTGGAGAAAAAGAGAACTTTTCGATTGGCGTAAAATTTTCAGAGGTATGAATCACATGTATGAATCACATGTGAATCACATGTATGAAGAATGGCCATTTAAATTTTTGAGACATTTTCATACGTGCGTCTCAGTAGTTATATTTAATATAAGTTGTTGTTGTTGTTACTTTACGTCGCACTAGAGCTGCACAATGGGCTATTGGCGACGGTCTGGGAAACATCCCGGAGGATGNCCGACAGCCATCTGGAGAAAAAGAGAACTTTTCGATTGGTGCAAAATTTTCAGAGGTGCGTGAATCACATGTATGAAGAATGGCCATTTAAATTTTTGAGACATTTTCATACGTGCGTCACAGTAGTTATATTTAATATAAGAAACAATGTTGTAAAATAAAAAAGCAATACTATAGAATTAATTAGTCTTCGAGGAATAATATGTCACGTTCGATTCATGCAGGTAAAGTTCACGTACGTTTGAGGAACTTGCTGAGGGAACTAAGTGCATGCAATGCACGCTGAGTTCCCCTTTTCAGTTAAGATAATTTAGAAACTAGTTTAGATAAGATTAAGTTTAATACTAATAAAGTTAAGATAATTTAGAGTATGTATTAACACATTCAATAAGTTTTGTCTGAAAAACGGAACTCAGTGAGAAAATATTAATCCCACACATTTTTCCCCCCTTCAATTGTCAACATCATCTGGTCCTTGCAATACTCTCAAGTGATCTGTCCGCTTGGGTCAGAGTTCGTCTTAGATGAGTTGTTGTTAATTTACGTCGCACTAGAGCTGCACAATGGGCTATTGGCGACGGTCTGGGAAACATCCCGGAGGATGATCCGAAGACCATGCCATCACAATTTTGATCCTCTGCGGAGGGGATGGCACCCCCGCTTCGGTAGCCCGACGACCTGCGCGCGATCGTCTTAGATAAAGTTTCCATATATGTTCGCACACACGTCCTGCGCAATAGATTGCTATGTGAAAGCTACAAACAGTTCCCAGTTGATTACTGAAAGCATGCTTCACTGAATGTTTTCATTGAGCAGGAGGGGGACCACTTTATACAGCTGGCGAAGGAACCGAGGGTCAACGATATATGTACTCGTTAAACTGTCCTACAGCAAGGTAGTCGACTGGTAAATCATCGGGCTAGTGCAAGGGATATCATCTTCTGGGGTTTTCGAATCATCCCCGCCAACAGCCTATTGAGCAACTTTAATGCGACCTAAATAAAATACTATTACTCAAGTGATTTAATTATAAAAATAGTTTAAGTTAGGAATCATAAAAATTTTAATTTATTTTAAGTAGATGCGTGCGGAAATAATTTCATGGTTCAGAATTTATGAATCCCAACAAATATTCTTAATTTTTAAAATGTAAAATAATTAAATTTTAAGGATCTTAACATTCATGATTAAATCTGCTTGAAAATTACATTTTACTTTTTATAAAATTCACAAGACGAATATTTAAAGAGTAAAAAATGTAATTAAATTAGGTAAAATACCGATTGATTTAAAGTTTCAGTGTCTTCAGTTATTGATTGAGTTCTCCCTTTGTCTGGATCTCTCCCTACACCACTAATTATATTTAATACCTTTTCTGATAATTCATGCATACAACCAGTTCACTCTTTATTGTTCTACAAACTTTTTCTATTTTCACACTCAACTAAACATACTTGATGGATTTTATTTACTTCTGAAGTGAAAAGTTAGTCAAATTATGTGTTGATAATTTAAGAACCGATTATTAATAATAAAGAACCCCCGATTGCACAACAGCCTTAGAGAAGAGGAGAGTGAAGGGTCAAGACATAGAACCGGTGTTAGGACAGATGGCGTATTCGAGCGTTGTGAATAAGTAACTGTTGTATAATTGGGCATCAAATAATTGGAAAAGGTATTGTAACTTAGACAGGGTTAGTGATGACGTACATCTTGACGTCGACCATCAGGCCTCTCAGCGTTCCAAGCATTGTCTAAAACTGAATCCTCAATATGACCTTTAAACGTAAAGTGCTTCGTGTTTAATGTTTATTACTAAATAGTTTACACTAAGGAGCTAGTTTGGATAGAAAATAATCGATTTAATCCAATAACATCATTAATTTTTAGTTTAAAGGCAATTATATTTAAAAAAAAAAAGGAGAGTTAAGGATAAGGGCCAGTTTACAGTTCGGTTTCGAAAGATTGTTTGCACTTTTTAAAGAATCACGATTTTTGTATAATTGATGATTTGATTAAAAGATATAGGGGAAACGTTAGTGTTGTTCTTAATACTTTTTATCCTAAATTAAAATACGTATTTTATTTGCTTATTTTGAAATTTTTAACCTATCTGAATAATAGTATCTAATAATGTAATAAGTAGTCTCAACACACTTGAAATAATGTTTACATTGACTGAAGTATTTCTTTAATGTATCTGTGTGTAGTTTATTTAAATTGAGTAAGTCTATTTTTAAAACACAAAGTTAAAAAATGAAACATTATAATTACTTTTATTTTAATATTTTTTTTATTATACTTAGCATATATTAAAATATTAGATATATCAATATTTTTCTCATGGAAAAGGTAATGCCTATTTAATGGTTTCGACAACAAAAAAAATTGTTTAAAAGTACAACACATTATCTGAATAAAAACTCTCAATATAAGACAGTTTGACATTATCCTTATGTATGAAGTATCTAGAAACCTTAAGATGATAAATATAATGCATAAAAACGTTTTTTCACTATATAATATGTAAAGTGCAAACAAAAGGATGTTAATAATAACAATTAATTAATTAAAAGTAGTCTGTAACAGCGCAATCCGTAAGCGGTCTATAACTGTTCAATTAAAGTGTAATCGGTTAAAAAAAAACTTATCACATTTTAAAAGGACCTAATTTTAACTGGATTCTTTCTTGCAGTATCTATATACATTATTAAAAATACAATAACAGAATAAAGACACAGAACCTTTAACTGGATTTTTATTAATTTCATATCATTTGCACTTGGACTTCTGCCTATTATAATAATTTTAACCCTTAACGCATTGCAGTCAGACTGGAAAAAAAACAGCAATTGTTTTACTTTAGTCTTTATCCAAATACAATTTTTGTTATTTATATAAATCATAGGATATTTCCTTAGAAACAAAGCACTATGTTCAATTATGCTACTCAGTATCACTTTTTAATAATTATATAAATCTAACTTATTACTGTTACATTTCATAAAACTGTAATAATAAAAAAGCAGCATAGTTATAAAGTTACATTATTAATAATAGACTGTGTTTTTAAGATATGGGTTCATAAAACGTTTTTAATAACATTTAATTGTTATTAACAATGAAACCTTATATAAATTCATTAACTCGAAAATATTCCATAATTCCCAACATTTTCAAGGATAAGAAGTATGATAGTTTGTTATTTTTACTAATAATTAATAATGTTTTATTTTAAATTGAGTATATATTGTTATACTAGGTTAGTAAATCATGCATGTTTTTGCATTCTTTGGATTGGTCAGTAGAATTAGATTTTTTTCATATTTATATTAGCTTGCAACCACTGAGATTTTTCTCTCCCCCTCTCTCTCTTTTTTTTAACGGTTTGAAAAATGTGTGCTATATTTGTAAAAAAATGTATCCTGCAAAAAAGGAGAGGAAACTTTAACTGTTAAAGAATTTTTTTAAAAAGAAAAATCCCCATTATTATTATTTTGTGTTTACATTCTTAATTATTTTCTGTGCTACAAACTCACATGAATGGTTTCAACAACCTCTCCATTTCACTCAATTAATTTTTGTCCATTAACAAAAAAAAATAATATTAAGGTAATAGATTTGAGAAAAAGTGAGTTAGAAGCTTAACTTCAAAAAGATGACAAAGAATCTCATAAAAATCGTAACCATCTTTTGTAACGAAACACATAATAAAACAAAACTTCAATTTTTTACAATTTAACAAGCCTTAAAATAAAATTGAATGATGCTATTATCGCTGATTATGTTCTATCAAAATTAGACCTTTAATATATTTAAACAAACTATTTTGTAATTAAAATTCAACTAAAAATATATGTCACATCAGTTTCAACAGGAAACGCCATATTAACCTTCGCTTCAAACTTACTATTGGAATGCTTTTGGGGAGCGTCGTTGGTAATGTAGGGATAACCCTATCTATTGAAAACATAAATAAAATCTCACATTACCAAAAACCTAAATGTACACAGTGTTAAAAGCTTTTATTAAAAAAAAGATGGAAATATACACTGAAACATTTTTAAACTTGTTCATTAAATTGCAATGTAAATTATTGAATATAATCAAGAAAATTAATTACTGCATTGGGTGTAATTCTTACAGTTCAGATTTTAATCTTTTTTAGGGTAGGGAAAAGATAGATTAACTACAATCAAGGAATAATTAAAAATTACTCTATTAAATTTAAACGTTTAGTGGTTACTTTTATGACTATAAATATAAATAAGACTTTTACTATTTTCAACTCAACTTTAGGCTTTTTAAGTTTTATTTTAAACAAGTTATCCTAATATCTGGATATACGATTGTCAGGACTAGGTTTGGCGTCTATCAATCTAAAAAATTTGTGTTAAAATTATATATAAAAAAGCTATTTGTAAGAAAGAGTAAAGAAGGAAGACACATCAAAAGCGTTGAATGAGTGCTTTATATTTAAAATACTCAGCTCTTCTATGAAAAATACAAGCATTTTAATAAAAATTTGATAATTTCAATAAAAACTATTTACAAAATCCACACATATTTTACAGATAAAATCATAAATCTGTGCACAGAAACTATCTTCTAAGAAGTATTTTTCTTCAGTCTGAAAGAAAGATAAACATTTTAGACAAGTGCATAATTAAATTACACCAAATTCCAATCATTTGTGATAAATTGCAAAAATTAAAATATAAATAAATAAAGAGTTGTTCATAAGTTTTATAAATGCATAATGCACGAAATAAAAAATAGATTGCATTAATAATTTTTAATCTGATAACCATAACTTCTCATACTGAGATGCAATTTTAATTATGAGTAGTGGCTTAAACCTTAAACTATGGAAATTAATTTGTGAAGATATTTTAAATTACAAAAATTCCTGTCCATGTGTAAGCTTGTCTATTTTCTTAGAATCAGCTTTAATGGACAAAAAGCCATTTTTTCTTTGATCTTAAATGTTAATAAAAAGAATAATTTCGTTTAGAAAACATAATTATAATTTTATGTAACCACATTTTATAAATATGTTAATCACAACAAAATGAAAAGCTAGATTTTAAAAATAATCAAATGTACTTGAAATGAAATTAAAACTTTAGAATACAGAATATGCAGCACAATAAAAAGTAATTAAATGGAAAGTAATTTCAGAATGAAAATTAAAATTTTAAAAAGGAAGTGGATAAAAGAATATCAAAATCACAAACTGCTAAATTATTCAAGATCCTGAAAAATACTTTGTTTACAATCATTATGCAATTTTAAAAACAGAAGAATAAAGTGTTAAAATGTCAAAACATTGTTCTTGCGAAGCAAAATTTCAAAATCTAAAAAAAACATTGAATGAGTGGCTAAAAAAAGCATTACAGTGCAATAGTATTAAGAGTTGCTATAAGAAAACATTTTGTTTTTTCAACCTTTCATGCAATACATTAATCAGTTTCATAATTATATTTAAATTGTAGCATGTTTTTGTCAAAATAAGTCCAGTATACATGACATTGAATAAATATTTGCACTAATTTTTTGTACTCTGGATATAGCAACCTCACAATATACAATCCATTGTTGTCTGGACCATAGGAGTCGTTATACTGAGCACTGATTGTATTTGTTTCTGATTGTAGTAATAAAACACAAGCACAACATATATGTCATGTGTAAGATAAAAAAAGTAAAGTAAAAACTATGTAACCCAACCCAGAGGTGATTGTGAGCCCAAGTCAAAATTCCGGAAAATTTCCTAAGTTAAAAAAAAAAAAAACCAAAAAAAAAA